TGATGATAACCTGATGGGCTTTCCTTTGTATGTGATCTTATTTCTCTCTCTGGCTGTTCTTATCCTTGATCTTTGCCATTTTAATTATTATATGTCATGGTGTTGCTTCCTTGGGTCTCTGTGTTGGGTGATCTGTGCACCTCCATGGACTGAGAAATTATCTCCTTCCCCAGATTGGCAAAGTTTTCAGCAATTAGCAAACCCTTTTTCTCTCTTCTTTTTCTGGTACACCTATAATGCAAATATTGTTCTGTTTGGATTGGTCACACAGTTCTCTCAATATTCTTTCATTCTTAGAGATCCTTTTTTCTCTCTGTGCCTCAGCTTCTTTGTATTCCTCTTCTCTAATTTCTGTTTCATTTATCATCTCCTCCACCATATCTAATCTGCTTTTAATACCCTCCATTGTGCTCTTCAGTGATTTCATCTCTGATTGGAATTTATTCCTGAGTTCTTGAATATTTTTCTGTACCTCCTTGAGCATGTTCATGATTTTTATTTTGAAATCTCTTTCAGGAAGATTCATGAGGTCAATTTCATTTGAATCTTTCTCAGGTGTTATATTCATAATTTTACTTTGAACCAGGTTTCTTTGGCATTTCACATTTGTATATGGTGCCCTCTAGTGTCCAGAAACTCTACTCTCTGGAGCTGCTCAGCCCCTGAAGCAATGTCAGGCATCTCGGGAGAGTGGTATTGGTACCTTGGGGGAGGAAAGAGCTGGTTACTGTTTCCCAGATGCTATGCCTGCCTCCACTGCCAGAACCATTGGGCCGAGCACACAGGTATAAGCCTCTATGCTTTGTATTTGTAGTTGGTGTAGACAGGGCTTCCCTCTGGCTGGCCTAATGCCAGGGTAGGATTTGCTGGTTTGCAAGCCAGGTGGGGCTGGCTGGGAGAAAGGTGCAGTAGGCTGTTTATCATGGAGGGGGTCCTTGGAGCTGTGTAGCCAGCCAGGCAGCTGGAGCACCTGAAGACTGAGAAAACTCCCAACCTGCTGCGCAGAGTGCACCTGGACGATTTTGTCCACCTGTCCTTTCTCCTGAGCAGTAAGTTCTGTGCAATCCTTGCCCCTTTAGCAGCCCTCTTGCTGTTAGGAAGTCTCTCAGACTGCCCACCTTTCTTTTGTCCCAGAGAAGCTGGTTATGGATCCCTGCTTTCCACAAGAAGCTGGAATCTCAGTCTCTCCAGGTATTCTGCCTGTTTTAGCTTACCATCACCCTAATCATGATAGTATCATGAAAGCACCATGTAATGTAGGTTTGTGCTCCCAGAGCAGATCTCTGGAGTTAGGTATTCAGCAGTCCCAGGCTTCCACTCCCTCCCTGCTCCATTTCTCTTCCTCCCACCAGTGAGCTGGGGTGGGGGAAGGGCTTGGGTCCTGCTGGGCCATGGCTTTGGTACGTTACCCTGTTCCATGAGGTTTATTCTTTTCTCCAGGTGTATGCAGTTTGGTGCAGCCCTTTTTCCTGTTGCTCTTTCAGGATTAGTCATATTAATTATATTTTCATATTATATGAGATTTTAGGAGGAAGCCTCTGTCTCACCTCTCATGCCACTGTCTTTTTAATCCAATTGCTGTAGATTACTTTTTTAATCTCTGGAAGCTTTTAGGGTTTCATTTCATTTTTGCACTGCAATTTTTTTGTTTTGGCAACTACATCAATCATATTTTCAACTTTTGGGTTATTTTCTTCTTGCTTTTTTTGGTACATGGTCGTGTTTGAAGAGTATAGTATCATTTACAATCCCTCTGAGTGTGTGTGGGTGTGTGTTTAGTTCTTGTCTTTCATATCATGAATTATCCGTTTCCTTTGGGATCTTTCTATTGGTTTGTTTATTTTGATATCTCTCACATGATGTAAGTTTTCAATAAATATTTTGTGGTCCTTGAATTGAACGTCCTTTGTTATTTAAGAAGTAATAAAATGTTTGGGAACTCAGTGGAGAAAGAATTACCAACTTGTGGAGAGTTAATCATCATGTTTTCATTTAAAAAATAGATGCTTTTTCTCTGGGTTCATTATGCAATAATAAAAATAATTAATGAAGAAAATAAAAGTCATAAAGCTGTATGTACCAAATAACAACAACTAAGTATGTAAAAATGAAAGTATTATAAATACAAGAAGAGTTTAACAAAAATACAGTTTTAGTGGAATATTTCAATATTAACCTCCTCAGAATTAGATAATTCTAATAGACAAAAGTAAGGATATAAATGCTATGAAAAATACAATTAAAAATAAAAACATAGAGAGTATATATACCTTAAATAGAGAGTATACATTTAAAAAAATTTTAAGAAACATTTGTAAAAGTGGATCATGTACTAGACCAAAATGAAAATGTTAATGCATTAAAAGTGAATGATAGATCTTAAAGACATGCCAAGTTGAATACTCTGGACACAAAAGTGCAAATACTGTACTGATTCCACTTATATAAGATGCCTAGAGTAATCAAATTCATAGACACAAAGTAGAATGGTGATGTCTGGGGGCTTGAGGAAAGGGGAACAGGGACTTGGAATTTAGGTGGTAAAGGTTGCACAACCATTGTATTGAATGCCCCTGTAATGTACACTGAAAGACAGTTTGAATGTCAAATTTTGTCAGGTATATTTTACCAAAAATTTAAAAAATGAGTGATAGAAATTTTATAGGTCACATTTTCCGATCAAAAGACAATTGGATTTATAATAAATTATTTAAAAATTATTCTCTACTTTTATGGACTGAGTATTTCTGTCCCTATCCCTTCCAATTCACATGTTGAAGCCTTACCCCCCAGTGTGATAGGACATGGAGGTAGGGCTTTCAGAAGGTCATTAGGTTTAGATGAGATTATGAGGGTGGGGGCCGTGATGGGATTAGTGGCTTTAGGAGAAGGGAAGAGAGACCGAGCTTGCCCTCTTTGTGCCATGTAAGGATGCAGTGAGAAAGCAGCCCTCTGCAAGTCAGGAAGAGAGATTTTACTGGAATTGAATTGTCTGGCACCTCAAACATAGACTTCCCAGACTCCAGGACTATAAGAAATAAATTTATTGTTTAAGCCACTCAGTCTATGATATTTTGTTATGGCAGCTTGGGTAACTAAGGCAACCATCATAAATGCTTAGGCAAGTTACTCAAAAATATACTCTTGGACAACTCTTATACCAAAGAGAAATTGAAAGGGAAAAGTCACCTTTAAGACAACAAAAAAGGAGACTGTTTCTTACCCATATCCATGGGAAACAGCAGATATCTTACATGAAGAAAACTTACAAACTTTAAATGCCTTCATTTTAAAATCACTGTCTTAATTGGCTTGGGTTGCTATAACAAAATACCATAGACTGAATGACTTAAGAAACAGACATCTCTCAAAGTTCTGAAGGCTAGAAGTCAGTATCAGGGTGCCAGTTGGGTTCTGGTGAGAGCCCCCTTCCTAGTCTGCGGATGGCTGTCTTCTCGCTGTGTGCTCACATGGCAGAGAAAGAGTGAGCTCTTGTGTTTTCTAACTCTTCTTACAAGGACACTAATCCCATCATGAGGGCTCTACACAAACATGCAGTCAATAACCATCAGTGAGACAAAAAGGAAAAATTTTAACAACTCCATTTAAATTTTAAAAAAGAACAGAAAAGTAAACAAAAAGGGTATTATAATAAAAACTGAAATTAAATAAAAAGCAAAGTGATTTCACTCATCTATGGAGCATAAGAACAAAGCAAAAACTGAAGGAACAAAACAGCAGCAGACTCACAGAACCCAAGAATGGACTAACAGTTACCAAAGGGAAAGGGACTGGGGAGGATGGGTGAGAAGGGAGGGATAAGGGGGAAAAATGGGGCATTACGATTAGCACACATAATGTAGCAGGGGGTGAGGGGCACGGGGAAAGCAGTATAGCACAGAGAAGACAAGTAGTGACTCTATAGCATCTTACTAAGCTGATGGACAGTGACTGTAATGGGGTAGGTGGTGGGGACTTGATAATGGGGAAATCTAGTAACCACAATGTTGCTCATGTAATTGTGTATTAATGACACCAAAAAAAATCTACATGAAAACATTGAAAAAAAGAGTCATCTACCCTTTAAAAAAGTAAAAAATAAAAAGAGCAAAAAATATGTATTTAATATTACTTAGCAAGTTTAATACAACACAAGATTCAACAAATGAGTAAATTAGTATTTTCTTTCTTCCTTAGTTAAAAATTCAGACATATTCTTCTGCACTTAAGTGGATTATGTTGAGCACCTCCCAGGTTGTAGCCTCAACTTTGGGAACCACAGCTCAAGATTATAAAGGAAGCATATATATATATATATATATATATTTTTTTTTTTTTTATTTGAGCTTTTATAGTGCTTTGAGGGGTGACATAGTCTTATAGTCCTGAGACTTATCGTGTAATTTCCTGAAGTTTTGTTGGTTAGTTTGTTTTGCATTTACATTGTTTTGTATCTGCTTAGGGTTCTAATTCAGAGGCACACAAAATACTTTCTGAAACACATTCTAAGCTCATGAGGATTAGTTGTTCTGTTAAGATTAACCAAAATTTATTGGTTTTGAAAAAGAGTTTAGGGAGTAACTACTACTATGCCTTGTGTCCAGCTACTTTTAAAATTCGTGGTTCATGCTCTGTGTTCTTGTTACATCTTGTTACTATGCTCTTATTTATTTTAGAGTTCTAGTGGTTTAGTTATGGAATAGAATATAATTTTTTCCCTTTAAGTACTGCTGTATGAAAAATGCATTTTCATAGTAGGCTCTGCTAATGCTACAAATCTGAGAGATTTCTATTCTCTTTTATTGTGGTGCTAATTTTCCCTCAGTAATCTCTAAATTGCAACATTATTTTATAATATTTAAAAGATCAGTAGATTTTAAGTTCAAATGAATATTTAAAGAAGCAAAGTTAGATGATTTAATTTCTATTTGATTTTAGGTCCTTTAATATGGTAAAAACTTAGTAGGACTTTGGTTAATCATGGCAGTTATTATTTACAGTTGTCAAAGCTGCAGGATGAACGGTCAAGCTTGCAAGATCAGCTACGTGACTATGAAGATCGAATTAGTGCTATGGCTTCTCACTTCAAAAATGTTAACCAAGAGTTCTCATTTACACAGGTACAATAATGGTGAAATTCATGTGGATTACATCATGTGTAGTCATGGAACATTTCATATTGCATTTGCAATTGTAATTTTATTTTAGAGATATAATAGGAAAATTTAGCACAACTACACTGTTGTGAAACTAACCTTGAACCTGGAAATTGGTAAAAAAAAAAAAAAAAGGCTTTGAGGAACACACTACTAACACCAAGTTCAAGGATTATCTCATATGAAAGGAGAAATCATTCAAACAGTCTAATATAATATTAGGCAGCAGATTATATGAGAAAGGTACAGTGATGGCAGTGAGAAATTATGGGTTTAAGCGGAAACAGATCTACTATAAAACAATAGAGTTTCCATCAACTTTTTAATTTTTCAGCGCAACCTATTGGGACCATTTTGAATGGAGGCAAACAGTCTACAAACTTCAGTAGCTTTTAGAGCACCGTGGTATTTTATCATAGTTTAAGAAGTGGAATTTATAATGACAATCCTGAGATAATAGAAAAGTTAAATCATATTTAGGAGACTATTTAGGATAACCAAGAAAAATATAATGCATTTTAGGAATATTAATACACATAATAAAAATTAAAGCTTAGAGTGATTAATTCAGTAAGCATCTGTGTTATGGACAATCTATTCCTGTGTAGAACTGCATTCCCTGATGATGCCCAGGAAATTAGACAGCTCAGCAAATCAGCACTGGAAAGTTTATGAGCTTCCATCTCAGACTAGTCCTTAGAAAATGCATCTACCTTTCTTTGACAAAGAATGTAATTCTTAAAAATGAACAAAGCCATGTTTTTAATACCAGTTTATAATTAATATAGATAAATAACTATTTTATGATTTGCAAGTCTTAATAAGTTGCAGATTTAATGAACTTAAAAACAATGCTCAGGAATTTTTTAATCCTTTTATGAATAATTAGTAAGCTGTTTGGAATAAAATATTTTCATCAATTTATTAAACTGCTGAATTAGGGATTGAGAGAGACTTGAGAGAAATATACTTACTCTGTAGTTATAATTCATTAGAGTCAACCCTCAATTTAACAGGAAAATAGAGAAAAAAGAATAAACTTCCTACAAACTAAAAGCTTTAATGATGTAAAGCTAATACCGATGGTGATAACTTTGAAGAACTACAAGATCAGTAGTCAACAAATACTATTTTATTAAGTAAAACTTAACACAAAGGCACGATTGCATATTAATATATTTTAGGAAATATTTACAACCATTAGTGTCTGCATAGTCATTTTAAACATTATCTCTGTTGATTAGAATATGTAATCAATTCCTATAAACAATGCATTTCCCAAGTATTTTTTAATCAATTTCATTTATTATTTTTAAGTAAATATTGAGTTACATTTTTTTATGTTTCACTGTATAAACTTTGGTTTTCTGCAGTTGCCCTAGACCAACATAGTATCTGAAAACTGCTGACCAAGATTTGACCATAGCAAATCCCATGAACTGATTTTCTTAAAACTAGTAAGCAATACCAATCATACTGAATCACAAAGTCTAACATGGTATAGTTTTCAGAAATAGAATTAATGGTATTTAATCTAAACATTATGTGGGACCTTTTTTTTTTGTCCAGTGGATTATTATATGTTACAGTATTCAAATCTAAGAAGTCTTTCTACCTTATATATGATTCTGCAGTCTCTTTGCAAAGCCAGGGAGCATGAGATTGAAAGTGAAGAACATTTCAAGATCATCGCTGAAAGAGAACTAGGACGAGTCAGGGATGAAATCCAAAGACTGGGAAATGAGATGGCTTCAATACAGGAGAAGAAAAGTGATAAGGAAGTATGCGCTCAAATTTGGTGCTATTGTTCCTTCTTCCCTCACTAAAGAAAACTGAGTTTTTTTTTCTGTAGGGGGAAGGCATTCATTAGTTTCCTGATACTTACTTTCATTGCTTTTTGGACAATGAAAGGCACATGGAGCTGTGATTTGAAAGAAGCAATGATAGAATGGTGTGTTTATTTTCCTAATATTCATATACTAAATATTCATTGAAACTTACTATGTGTCAACTACCCTGTTGGCTGCCTGTCACACCATGCTAGGCATAATTTATTTATAAGCGCTATATTTTTAAAAGCAACATTCTGAAAAAATCACTTTTAATTTTGCATTTCATTTTTCATCAAAATTTTAGCCTTTCATATTAATTTATCAGTTTGTGACTCTAATATTAAACTACTGTAGTCTGTTTTTCTCTTTTCCTTGATTTTTAATTATCTGATTTGGGAACCTCTTCCAAATTTGATACTTCTCTTTACATATGAATATCCATATGGAAATGCATATATAATATATATATATATATGTATGTATGTATACATACACACATTTTATTAATTGGCATTTGTTTGCATATTGATCTGTTTTCTTTTATGAATCTAGGTGTTAAGTGAATACTTTTATAAAAATATTTTTATTTCCTTAACTACGTATTTATTTCAGTTAGAAGTGCTTCTAAAATCTCGAGATAAGAGAGCTCTTAGAGGCAGCAGTCTGATTGGAAATGGGGCTGAAGGAGACTTGTCTTGGGCTTAGTTAGCATATCAAGCATATTATTTTTACTTATTTAAAACTGCATATCTGCTTGGGGTGGCTTTGGTGCAGTGATGAATGCAATTACTGGGGGAGCTACTTTAAAGCCTTTTTAAGTAATCTTCTGTCCAACCACTGTCCTCAACTTTGTATAATCATTTCACCTCTATTTTACAACTAAGGAATTAAAATAAAAGTATGATAGTTGTATAATTAAATATGGTATGTTATATACATCTGGAGGTCAAGGACAGGGACAAATTTCTTCTTTCCTTTTAAACATGTTCTGTAGTATGTAATGTTATGTTTTGTTTTATTTTATTTATTTTAGATAAATAATGTTTCATAATCTCTCCTTGCCCCCTTTGTTTGGAAATTAGAATAACATATTTAAAACGACTCAAAAATTGGATGGTTTGAAATGTCAAATGAACTGGGACCAGCAAGCATTGGAGGCATGGTTAGAAGAATCAGCTCATAAAGATAGTGATGCCCTCACTCTTCAGAAGTATTCACAACAAGATGATAATAAAATTAGGGTGAGAAATTATGAATTGTAATGTTAAGTTTTCTGTGAATCTGTAGTGTGTCAACTTTTTAACCTAAATTGGATTTAAATTTTTAAAGCAGTAGCTCTTAAACTTTCTTTGGTCAGAGACTCCTTTGGGATTCTAACAAAGCCAAGTATCTTTTCTCTAGAAAAATGACTATACTTGAAGTACCCACAAAATTTTGCTGAAAGTTTTACAGATCCTTCTTGGTCTATTTTTCTTTACAACTTGGTTCAGTAACACTGTTAATACTTTAGTATTATGAAACAAGCTATTTTCTATAATTCTATAATACATATAATATAATACAAAATACATTATTTTAAATAATTTTAAATGACAAATCATTGTTTAATCTTTTTACTAACTTTAAAAAGTATGAAAAGCCTTTTCAGAAACAGCTGAGTTTTCATTGAAGCCCTTTGGAGTTAAAAGATCATAAACATAGATTATTTTGTAGTTTTAGATATTAAATAACTGCATATCTATAATATAATAATACTTAATGAGAGATATGCTAACAGATTTTCAATTAATAAAATAATGATGTGAATATTTTTGCGTGTATTTACATCACAGGCACTGACCCTGCAGTTGGAAAGACTGACTTTGGAATGTAATCAGAGAAGAAAGGTGCTCGACAACGAACTCACAGAGACTCTAAGTGCACAGGTTGGTCCAGTGAAGATTTTTACTTCTTAGATGGCAAAGGGATGTTTTCAGACGCACTTATAACTCACAGAAATGTTATTTGCTCTCTATTTTACAGTTAGAACTGGATAAAGCAGCACAAGATTTTCGTAAGATTCATAACGAAAGACAAGAACTCATTAAACAATGGGAGAACACAATAGAGCAGATGCAGAAGAGAGATCGAGATATCGATAACTGTGCCTTGGTAAAGTCGTTCATTTGTCCTTGCAATGTACAACTCTGTCTCTTTTGCATTTAATTCGTTCATTTCAAGTGTAAATGACATTGTTATTTGAAAGTCACTTCTGTAGCAGGATTCAACAGTTTTGGTAAATATTTTTCAGAGCTGATTCCATGTCCATTTAGAACTGTGATTTTATGAAGATTATTTGCTTATGCCTAAGACTGTATTCTGCCATCTCTGAAATATGGAACAAAAGAAAGGCAATGGATAACGTACTGTAGTAAAACCATTTCCCTGACTTACACATGGTTGTCCAAGGTACCTTGGATTTCATATGTATGCTGTTTGCAGTAATCACAGCTGTAGGGAAATGAGCCTCATGGGCAGCCAAGAAACAAGGAGGGAGAGTGAGTAAAGAATCCTGGACTGTAATAGTTTCACCCTTGAAGCTGAGGCACCCATAATGGTGTAGAAGCGGGAATACCACACTGATCGAACACAGACCTGGTTATCTTTCGCTACTTTCAGAGATAATTTAGGGGAACTTCTTTGGGAAATCATTAATGGGTAAAATAGTAGTGAGCAAAAATGAGAAGATTAGGGAAAGTTCAGAAAGAATTGAGGAAGAAAGAAGATAGATGAGAAGATGTGTTAACTATTATTCTGGATCTACTCCATAGAAAGGCAATTGGCAAGTGGCTTAGGTCACTGGGAGTTTGGAATTCTGGTATCTGGATGTGGTTTACTTGTTATATGTAATTTCTATACATTATTCTTTTATTTTTAAATTCTTTAAGCAACCAACATTTACTAACAAAATGAGTAATGCCTCCCTAGGAAGGAAAGGGGGAACAAGTCTTTAACCATGAGTTCCCCCTAATTCTTCATGCTGATGTTGGTCTCCTTCTTGACTTCTTATTGTCCAACATCAAGTCCTGACTGCTTCTTCTGTGTAAATCAAATGTGCCAGATCCAGGATTGCAGATCCACAAGTGCATTCTCATACAACCCCACAGTAAACTGACTCAGCCTGCTGATGTGGCAGAATACAAATGTGTAGCTCCCTGATCATATTCACAGTTATTCCTTACTTATGGGTTGACATCTCCTGGCTGTCTGTATTGTAAAGAGACAGAGAAGAGTGCAAAGAAGTAGCACTCTTTGGTATGCTTCTAAGTGTTTAACAACTGGCTCCTGATTTGTAGCATTTCTCATTTTTGTGGTGAAACCACTTCGATACCAGCATGACTCCTCTGAACTCATAGTTGAGAAGAGATGTGTAAGTCAGTTCTGATGAACCAGTGACAGCCAGTTCACACCACTAGAGGATTTAATCTTTTATTCTTCTTCCTCCAAAACAGTTCCTGCCTTCTTATGTCTTCTTGGCAGAAGTCTAACCATATGATCCTGAATTAGCCTCTTACAAGAAACTTTTACATTATTTAGAAAAGCAAAAATATTTTTCTGTTATACTTTTATTCCAGTGTAGAAGTTTTGGGATATTACTTCTTAGCATCACTTAACTGTGAATAGAAAGCACTGTTTAAAAATGTGAACTTTGAAGTAGGTATTAAAGCATCTGATTAAATGGTAGAAAAATCAATATAAGGCAGGAAATTCTGGAATGATTGTTTGACATATATAAACTTAGAAAGTTTCAATTTGTCCTGTGGTTGAAAAAACACAGTAATATATAGTATGCTACAATTATAGAATGTTAACTTTTATAGAGAACATATGGGAATAGTAGATTAAACAAAGTTAAAATGTTTTTGTAAAATGCAATGCATCTCAGATATATATTCATTTAATATGCTAATATGTAGATTATATGTAGCATTTCTAAAACTTACTGACTTTTTTTCATTCCCCAGCTCTACACTCTTCTTTGTTCCACATTGCTTAAAAGTTGACCCTCTTTAACATGACAGTTAAAAAATTGAGTATCTTCATAATTTGGCCCTAACCTCTACCTTCTAACCTCATCCCTTTCATCTGTACTAACCCCTTCTTAATATATCCCTGTTTCATTCCTGCCCACCCATTTATGCATCTCCATTTACCCTTTCAGGCATGACTCAAGTGAAGCCTCTTAGGTAATGCCTTTTAATGATTCTCCTTGGGTGGACTTGATGTTATCTTTGTTCCCATTATACTTTGTCCACCTCTCAGTTACTACTTTGTATATTCTATTTATTTTGTATCCTCAAGACCAGCAAAAAGCCTAAGTGAAGGCATTCTTATTGGAACCAATAACTAAAATGTTATTCTCAAAACATGAAAAAATTGGTCCTATGAAGTACTTCAAAAATTTCATTGAAGTCCAACTTTGTGAAAAATATTCAACACTGTTATTTTTTAGATGTCACCTTTCATTTATAAAAGAGTGACATCTTTCTCATCTCTTTAGGAAAGTACCAGATAGGTGAAAGAAAATATAGAGACCTTTAAAAATATGAGCTTATAGATATTGGTCTGTAGCATAATATTGTTCTTACTCATATAAAAATAGTCTTTTAAAAATTTTCTCAAAAAGTTTTGGTACAATAGATACTGACTACAATAATTTAAAAAAATTAGACTTATAGTATTAGTTTTGTTCATTATATTAAGCATGTATATAACATATTTTTAAAATTCTAGGCATTAGCAAGGATAAAGCAGGAAAAAAGAGAAAAAGAAGGTTTGGTTAAGGAAAAGATCAAGTTTTTGGAAAGTGAGATTGGGAATAACACAGAGTATGAGAAAAGAATTTCTGTTGCTGATCGTAAAGTTTTAAGATGTAGAAATGAATACCAGTGTCATGAAATGAATAGAAATCAGCTGAAGGATGAGGTACGTCAACAAAAAAGACTTTGTTTATGACAAATGATTATAAAAAATAAGCATAAAGGCTTTCATTTGATTAAGGAATTAATTGCCTTCTAGTTCTTCTGGCTATGTTCGTTCATGATGTGGGACTTGCAGATACTCGGATTGATGCCTGGATAGGTGAAGGCAATGGGATGCCGTGCACAATCACAGGTGGTGTCAAGGCTTCCACTGGAGTCGTGCAGTGCCTGACACGCAGCTCCAGAAGGCTCTAGACTAGAAATCATAGTTAAAAGATAACTGGCAAATGGGCAAAAGTGAAGATGAATATTGACATTAGTGAAAACGTGGAGTGTCTCTCCAGTGCTACGTGTGTGTGGTTGTTTTAACTCTCAATTTCTAGGTGGAGCTCCCTGCTCACATTCAATTTCTGACCTTGTCAAGGAATAATATTTCAGTCTGGCAGTGGAACAATGTAGTGGTAAAATAACTTGAAACAGACTAAGAGAGAACAAAACTTCTGCTTTGTTCCTTTCTTCCATGCCAATGAGATCATTCCACAGGGAGAGGTAGAAATTGGCTTAGCAACAGGGGGAATCTTTATGAAATTTGTGCCTTGAAGGCGTATCATTTAAAGTTACCACTGCTTGGGTGGGAAATTGGAATATTGTAGAACATTTTATTCTTTAAGTTGTTATATTTTTTACCTGGAATGAGAAAGGATAGATTTTTTTCTGCCTAAAGAGAATAATTAAGATTCTAAAAAAGTTAAGTGAATTTCTTGTCTAAATTAAATATCACTGCTAATAGCTCATTTTTAAAAATTTTGAAGATTAAACCGATTGCAGAAAAGAATGCAGGGATTTATTTATTCATTCATTAATTCATTCATAATTTGAGATATAATTCACTTATCATAATTCACTCTTTTAAAGTATACAATTTAGTGATTTTTTGGTATTTCACAGAATTGTGAAACTATCACCAATGTCTAATTTGAGAATACTTTGTCTTTCAAAAAGAATCCCCATTCCACTTAGCAATCACTCTTTTCCCAACTCCTAAGGAGCCCTGGCAACTACTAATCTACTTTCTGTCTATTGATTTGCCTATTTTGGACATTGCAGATAAATTAAATCATATAATATATGTAGTCTTTTGTGTCTGGATTCTTTTACTTACATAATATTTTCCAGGTTCATCCATGTTGTAGCATTTATCAGTACTTTATTTTTTTCTTCAAATTTTTTTATTGTGGTTTCATGACTTACATTCAGGTTTTTGATCCATTTTGAGTTTACTTTTGTATATGGGGTTAGACAATAATCCAGTTTCATTCTCTTGTATGTAGCTGTCCAGTTTTGTCAACACCAGTTGTTGAAGAGGCTGTCATTTCCCCATTGTATATCCATGGCTCCTTTATCATAGATTCTTTTTTTAATTTTTGTTATTATTGAGTTTTAGAAGTTCTCTATTTATTCTGCATATTAATCCTTCATCAGATATATGACTTGTAAATATTTTCTCCTATTCTGTGGATTGCCTTTTTACTTTCTTGTCTTTAGATGCACAAAAGTTCATAATTTTGATTAAGTCCAATTTGTGTATTTTTTCTATTGTTGCCTGTGCCTTTGGTGTCATATCCAAGAAATCACTGCCCAATCCAGTGGCATGGAGCTTTTGCTCTGTGTATCTTGAACACATAAATATAGACCTGTATAATTTGCCAGTATCATGCAAGTCACTTAAAATTTAAAATCATATCAAAAATAAAAACTGTTACTGTGTTTATGGATGTGTTATAGGCTAAAAATTAATGTGTTCAGGATAGAACTTCTCAGATTCTAATAAAAAGAGTAAATATATAATTTCTGTCTGTTAACTAAAAAATAGCTGGATTCTTTAAAAGCCACTGTAAATAGAAGTTCCAGTGATTTAGAAGCCCTGAGGAAAAATATTTCCAAAATAAAGATGGACATTCATGAAAAAGCAACAAGGTGAGAAAAAAAGATATTTAAATGTTTATAGTTTTTTTACTACTACTAGAAATATCATTAAATGTTTAAGTTTTTTGTTAAATAACTGTTAAACTATAGCTAGTAAATTTTTAAGCTTAAAAATTTTTTCCTGGGTTTCTTATCACAGGCTTAGAGCAATATTTTTATGGCATATTAAATATATATTGGTAATAAAAGGTTTATGGCAAAAGAAACCTTCAAGTTATATGAAGAAATCTTAGGATAAACTATTCCTTATTTGTTTGCATTAATAATTTATAGACATTTTCCATTTTTTCCTCATAAATCCTCTGTAGGTTACACAAAATTAAAAATCATAATCAGATTGTAAGAAAAAAATTAAAGCAGATAACTGAGAAAACTATGTCTGTAGAAGAAAAAGCTACCAATTTGGAAGGTATACTAAGGGAGGAGGAAAAAGGAATAAAGGTAAAGTTCACTTCCAATTTTTAAAAAATCACAACAAATTTAGCTATAGTGAATTAATTAGACCTTTGAGGTCAGAGGAGTAGGCATTCTTTTAAGAGGCTCTACTTTCTGTTGTGATCCCATTTGTAATCAGAATTGTTGATGATGAACCACTTTTTACATACTGCTTGTGAAGATGTTCCTGACCTTCTCTTCTTAAGCTCCTAATTTTCCATTTACTTCACTTTCAGCCTTTAACTTAGGTATCTTCTTTTAAAGGTAGTCTGTGTATCTTAGATTCCATGCCATCCCAATGCTTCATGTGTCCATGTCTCTCCTTATCATCTGTATATATTTTCATATATTGCAAATGTACCTTGAAAAGTATCCTTATTTTACAACTGATTTCCACCTGTTTATCATCTTTTTTGTTTGTGATCAAGTTCTCCCCAGTGGTCTACTTTCATTACTTGTTTTTCTTCATCATTGACAGTCTGGCACCATTTATTGGTAATCAGGCTTTTAAATGCTATCTATCATTTTACTAAACCTTAATCTTTTTGGCATATTGGTAGCATTTAAGCCAGTTTTTGTTGTGTGACCTGACAATGTACATACTATGTTTTACTTTTACTCTTTTTTTGAGGGGGAGTCAGAGCAGCTGAAGATGGTGGCAAAATCCCCCATTTGCTGATGAGGCCTATGTCAAATATGTTTTCACTTATATTTGGATAGCATCCAAGTTCCTCACTGGGTAGTTTCATGTTTCAGATTCCTGCATAATGAAATCATGCAGCAATCTTGACTTTAGTGGTATTTGAGTCCAGATCATAAAAGTGTTTTTTAAAACCTTCATTTTTTACCCCCTAAGAGTGTGATTTTGTGTAGCACAGGAGATGGGACAATATTAGAACTTTCTAGAAATCTGTGGAATTCATGTGAAATAGACCTTTAGATTACAGAATTAAAAACTAGTGACACTTTTGAACAAATTTGCTAAATTAAAAAAAAATAAGATTGGCAGTATGCATGCTGATTGTGTTCTAGCAGGCTTGTGTTCATAATCTTGGTTTTTTAGCTTTTGGCTTTTTTTGTTTGCTTGTTTGGAAACATCCTAACCCCATATATTTTGGAGATGTACTGTGTTATTCACCACCAAGCACTAACTTTACAATTCTGCTAGACAATCTTTGAGAAGGTCTTAAACCCAATTAAACCATCTACTGTATGAAAAAGCATATATTTTATAATTGTATTTCCTGATTTGTGAAAATTTAACCATGCCAATCATAGACTTCCTTTGTTTCACTGGTTGCCAAAGGGAAATATGCTTATCTGAGTATGAAAACACAGAAAAAAATTATTTCAACATTTAAAAATTATAACTTTAATAGATCTTGGCAGGAGATCTATTTGAAGCCTAAAATACATTGGTGATGAATGAAGTCTTGAGGTCAAGACAGATGTTCCTACTGAGAAACGATCAGTGGGAATGGAGGACAGGTTTCTATTTCCTACTTGGCTGCACATGACGGAAGGCCACCTGGAGGCAAGATATGAGTAAGGGGTAGTGCCAGTACTGCGTTGGGGCCAGCCCCTTCCAGCGACCAAGAGCTGATGGTTAAATTTTCTGGAATTTTGCAGGTCAGCTGCTAACCATAGGTTGTTATAAATTATATAGACTTATAATTAAATTATATTAAAAACAAAAGTAATAACTCCTCAGCACTCATCACTTCCAAATTATTTTACTACATTTTACTACTGTCTATGCTCTTAAGGATGCCTAAGGTTATTTAACATCTGTTATATCTGTGTAGTGGACATAATATGTTAGGGTCTGAATATCTCTTGCCAATTTTGCATTTAATGGAATCGTTAGTAGCTTAAATTAGCCAAAGTGGGAATATTTGTACCATAAAAATCAGCTTCTTCTCCTTAACCTCCCATCCACTGGAAAGTTGGTGGTTAAATATTTACTTGCTCACTGGATATTGTCTAAAACAAGGTGGGAGATTGGGTGATGTGATTTCTTCACTTTAACACACTTAAGACTTCACTAAACTTTGTGAATTTATAAGCTGTGTGTCTCCAGTATATTTTATTTTCTAAGGAATACCAGCGGAATGGCTAAGTTCTAAGGCTAGTGTGACATGGGATAGAATTAAGATGACAGATGAAGGTACAAAATATTGGAATGGAAAACTACTTTTCTAGTCTACTAGAATAGAGTAGACTACAAGAAATGTTGGGGATTTGTTGAAATTGTCGGAAGGGGTTTATATTCTCAAGGGCTAAAATGTTTGGGGGGATTATTTATAAGCTGCTAAATTACAATGTTCACATAATAAAACATTTCAAGGTATTATACTTTCATTAATAACTATTATTTTTATCACCAGGAAGTGGAAGTTCAGTTGAACATAGTGAAAGATGTGCTGTTTAAGAAAGTTCAGGAATTACAGACTAAGAATATGAAGGAAAAAGCTATTGTATCAGAAATTGAAGGAACCCGTTCCTCTTTAAAGCACCTCAACTATCAGTTACATAAACTGGATTTTGAAACCTTGAAGCAGCAAGAAATTATGTATAATCAGGTAGATGTCATTTTTATGGATATCTTCCATATTGATATTATAGTTATGATAGTAAAGTATCCAAAAAAGAAGCAAAGATTTCTAACACTCTTAGATAAACAGATGACATATCATGTTAGACCATTAGTAGGGTGAGGGACTCTTAAAAGCTACATTTTTCTTCATCTGAAATAAACAGGTAGGAGGATAGACAACTTGGTGATGGAGAACCATGCTTTACAGGAACCTAGGACAACTGGACCTGAGTAAGACAAAACAAGGAGTGGGGTATCTAAAAACTAGAAAATTACATGTTGATTCTTGGTTGTGCAATCAGACTTCCCTACCTCTACCCCTAGACCAATAGATTAAGTGTACTAAGTATTTTTCCTTATTTGTTCTATTTATACATTCTGACTCATATTAATTTCTTAATATCCTCCCTCTCTACTTCTTGATTTCTCCATCCAATATATTCTTTGTTTCTCAACGTTACAGATAAAGTATAATTTTAAAAATAAGTCATTAGAAATTCATCATATTTGAGCCTTTCATGGCTTATAATTTATGACTCTTATTTTGCACCCCTTAGGAAATGTCCACTCATAAATCCATGTCCATGGAAATCTAATAGATTTATTGAGGTTCCGTCATGGTAGTATGATAAATAGCCCCTAAGTGATTTTGCTGTATTTTCACATTACTTCTGTGTCACTATCATGTACTCCGGTTGCTGAAGAATAGTTTGCTCTTCTCCCTTAGAGGAAGAAAGATTTTATCCTATTACTGATGGATTAAAGTGACTGTAGTAAATAATGGCACCCAAACCAAACTCATAGGAAAGTATTCATTCTATTTTTACATTTGTAGAGATAGTTTTAACTATCTGTTTCTCCTTACTAATTTAATTTTAAAAACTGTAACAGGATTTTTACATTCAACAAGTGGAACGCCGAATGTCACGGTTGAAGGGAGAAATTAATTCAGAAGAAAAACAAGCCCTTGAGTCAAAAATTGTTGATCTTAAAAAGACATTGGATGAGAAAAAATCTACATTAAGCCTTTTGGAAACACAGATCACGAAGCTTCATGTAAGTCAAAAAATACTCTGTATGCTCAAATACTCTAGTCACTAGTCCTTCTGTTTTAAGTCTAACATGTTCCTAAGACTTTACTTTGGATAGGATGATGGCCAAGCTACCCCATATATAACAAACATATGAACTAATGTTTGTGTTTCTATACTATGAAAATATAACATTGCTGTTGATATGCATTTACTATATGCTAAATATATTATGTGAATTTAGTATTTTATTTAATTTAATCCTTATAAATGCCTAGTGAGGAAGATATTATTACTTGTTTTACAGTTTAAGTAACTTGTCCACAGTTACACAGCTTGTACACAGAGAGCTAGGATTTGATCCCTGGTCCATGTGACTCCAAAATACTCTTAAATAGTACATGACTAGAATTATTTGTAAATTCCAGTTTTCTATTATGGATCTGCCATAATAACATGATTGGTCTTTATCTCTGTAATGATATCTAAAAGAAGCTGTTCTTTTATGGGTCATTCTTTTATGTGTCATCTATTATTATTGAAATACTGATAGTATTCCAAATGACTACATTTTTGTTAATAAGGTGAAAATGTTCTTCTTTAGATATTTGAATGTTTATGGTAATATAAAACCTATGTTAGGGGAACCTTTGTAATATAAAACCTGTGTTAGAGTTTAACTGGAAAGTAAGAGTGAAGGAGTGAGTGGGGACCTGAATGGGGTAACTCCAAACGGTAGTTTATTTAAACATCTGGAAAGTCTAGTGATGAGTGTCCCCTAGTGCTCGTAAGAAGAATTGCCTTGAATTCCTTTGGAGCTACAAAGATGAAAGGGAGCTATTACTTTTATAAATTTTCTTAAAAATTTTAAGATGACAAAAATTTGGTTTGGAGTACTTTGAAGACTGGTAAAAAAAATTTTAAACTGTTTTCTTGGTTTAGTGGAAAAGAACATGTGTTTGAATCAGAAAGAACTGGTATTGAATGTCAAAGTTACACAACTACTGCTATGTTAACTTTTCTGAGCCAAATTCGCTCATCTATTAAGTGAAAAAAAATTAGTATTATTTTATGGATTTGGGAGAATTATGAGGAATATATATCTTTTACATATTTACATAGTGCTTTCAGTAGGTACTCAATAAATGGTATTGTTTTAACTATATAGAATATAAGAATACTAATGCCTGCAGAATAATAGGAGGGTGACTTTTGTAACAACTGTTTTCTTGACCCTGGCCTGAACTTTATGTGATTGGCTAGTACTTATGCCTATCCCAACTCTGGTTTTCACAGGTAAATAAATAGAAATGCAAGTGAATTTTTGAAGATATTAAAGCTAATTAACCTTCTAATGAAGGTTGTTCTTCTCAATTGTAGCATCAGATTGTAAAGTCATTCTGTATTCCTTCCTCTATGCCACTTCATCTCTTACTTCGCATAATAGAAGCTAACTTTTTTTCTGGTCAAAATCACCTTAAATTTTTTTTTTTGTTCTAAAAGTTAGTTTTATAAAAATCACATATTTTGCAAATAATTGCTCTTTTTACTCTCTTTCTGCATTCTTATGCCCCTGTTACTTCTGAGAAATACAGGCAATGAGAAAGGCAGAGGGAGGGAGGAAGGGAGGAAGACACAGGAAGACAGAGGAAGACAGAGGGAGAAAAAGAGATCCTGAAACTACCCAGAAGGGACTAAGAGCACAAATCCTGTTCTGGGGTCTGGGTGGGTGGAGGGATGTAAACTGGTATAAAGCTAGAAAACCGGTATCTGGGTATGTGTGACCATTTATGCATTCAATGGAATTAGAACTTATCTAGCATTTTTCTCTAGCAATATGTGATATTATATGTAATAATAATAATACATGACACTTCTATGTGTCAAATACTGTTGTACAGTGTTACTTTGACAGTAACTTCTGTAACCCTCACAACAACACAGGGAGGTAGGTATTGGTATCATCTCCATTTTAGAAATGAAGAAACTGAAGCAAAACACGTTGTCCACCAGGGTCAGATGGCTAATATGTACTTAAGGCTGATTCCAGAGCTTGTACTGTTAACCAAGACCCCATACTTTCTCAGTCTGTTGATGTTTTTACTTTCTGGGACTTGAAATGAATTCCCGAAGGTGAACCATGTATTCAAACAAAGCTTGGTTTCCTCTTCTGTTTCTCCCCATAAATGGTGATCATACAATAATTCAGGTTGAATTGTAATCATACATAATATTTCCTAGAATTATTGAACTCAAACATTAATCAGTAATAAAAATGAAGATGTTTCTATATAAATATCCATGTATGTTATATTAGAGAAACTGGATCATGAACAGTGATATTAAAAATATGATTGTAAATATTTAATGGAACATGTAATTTAATGTAAGATGTTTGATAGTATGTATTGAATATTGTTATTTAAAATATATATTTATGTACCTTTATTCCTATTTACAGAATGATCTTTACTTTATCAAGAAGTCAAATAGTAAAAATTGTGATGAAAAACAGTCCCTTACAACCAAAATAAGTGAACTAAACCTTTTCAATGACAGATCAGAGAAAGAACTTAATAAAGCCAAAGTTTTGAAACAGGTAAGATAAAATCATATGTGTATATAATAATAAAAAAGTTTTTATGCTAACTGTAGAAAATTTTCTTAAAGTTACTATAAAGTACACTGTACACAAGACAGTGTTAAAACATATTATTTTCTTCCAGTCTTTTGAAGAAAACTGGCTTTATATATTATATTTAAAAATTTTTTAACGTATTATTTCCAAAGCATTAAGTGATCTTTAAAACTATTTTTAAAGGTTTCCCACAGCCCATTACATGAAGTTGCCATAACTTACTTAACCATTTCCTTTTTCTTGTATATGTGTTAGTATCATATACTAGAGTTGTGTACTATGCACATATATTGTACAGTTGCTCAATGAATTGCTGAAGATAAATTCCTAGCTGTAAAATTATGGTTCAGAAAGAATGAATATATTCTTGATATACATATATATGTATATATACATATATACATATACATATATATATATATATATGGTGTCTTGAAATTATTTTTAAGACAAATTGTCCTTTAGAGGGTTCAATTAATACTCCCACCAGCAGTGCAGAAGCATGCTACTTTGCTTACTACCTCCAAGGCTGGATATTATAATTTATAAAATTGCCATCAATTCAATGGGCAAACATGGTATCTCATTGTTTTAGTCTGCATTCTAAATGTCATTGACATTTGCAAACATTTTATGTTCAAACAACATTTAAAATATTTGTGTTTCAATAAAAATGCTTAAGAAATTTTTTTCTGGTATGTTCCATGATTTTTTTGGGGGGGATTTCTAGTTAATTATCATGGCCCATATTTCCATTAGGACATTTATATTTTCTAATTGCTTTGCAAAAGACCTTTGTATGTAAAAATCTGAATTCTGTTGTAAATAATGTATTTTTCCCATTTGGCTTTACATTTTTATTCCTTTTTCTGACATAAAAACATTTACATAAAATATTTAAGTGTTTTTCCTTGTATAATTTTTATGCTTAGAAATTTCTTTGTCACAATAAAAAATCAAAGAAATGTTTACTATTTCTGCATTGGTTTTATCTCAAGTTTTTTCATTCATCTGGAATATATTTTTGATACATTTGAGATGTAGGGGGTCTAATCTTTTCTCTTACTGAAAAGCTGTGTTTTTAAATAAAATCTTATATTGTGGAGTATTTGTTCTGGGCTTTTTATTCTGAAAATTGATCTATTTGTGTACTCGTGTCATATTCTACTCATGACTGAATTGTTTTAAAATAAAAATTTATACATTATTTTGTGAGATTTAGAGTATAAAAATGCTCATCCATAGCTTTAATAGAGGCGTGGAATAGACATTGAACTCTTTTTTTTTTAACTTGAATAAACCCCTTTCTTAAAGAGAAAAAAAGGAAGGAAAAGAAGAGAAATGAAAAGGGACAGAATCATGACTTGGACAATCTAAATTTTTTTTTTTGGTATCATTAATATAAAATCATATGAGCAACATCGTGGTTACTAGATTCCCCCCATTATCAAGTCCCCACCACATACCCCATTATAGTCACTGTCCATCAGCGTAGTAAGATGCTATAGAGTCACTACTTGGACAATCTAAATTTAACCCTACGTATCTTGGTCAGTGGTCAAATTAGAGAAAGTTATATTTTCAAATTTGGCTTTTTTTTTTAGCAATAATATATTTTTTCAGTTGGATATAAAAATCAATTATTTGAATATTTCACAATTTTATTATGTTCATAGGATTTGATGATAGAAGATAATCTTTTAAAACTTGAAGTTAAACGTACTCGAGAAATGCTTCATAGTAAGGCAGAAGAAGTTCTTTCGATGGAAAAAAGAAAACAGCAGTTATACACTGCTATGGAGGAACGAACTGAGGAAATTAAGGTTCACAAAACAATGCTTGCATCACAAATAAGATATGTTGATCAAGAACGGCAAAACATCAGGTAATAACTGGAGTTTTCAAATACTGCAAAAGAATTTTGGAGATATAAGGGTGGTGTCAGAACTGACTGTTCCCTCTACTATCCTGGAAGTCTGTGCTTTTCTTAGTAATTTGAAAAGGCTCGTAATATATACTATAGAACATATTTTAGCCATAAACTTATGGTGTTCCCTCTCTCTTTCCTTTGGCTGACTCATTTTTTAGGTTCTTCCTTTTACACTAACATCATTAATTACCTTGGAATTCATTTGCATGTATAGTTGTAGTAAGATTTTCCATTACAAATACCCTGTAATTGTGTTTATTGAAGCACTTTTTCCCTAGAGGTTTTGCATATTTTTTGTAAGATTTATTTCTGGCTACATGCTATTGTTTTAAGTGTTACTTTTTAATGTTATCTCCTTTTAAAACACTTCAATTTTGGTTTGTTACTGGCATATAGAAGCACAATTGATTTCTGTATAAGTGTTACTTTTTAATGTTATCTCCTTTTAAAACACTTCAATTTTGGTTTGTTACTGGCATATAGAAGCACAATTGATTTCTGTATATTAAGTATCCAACAGCCTTGCTTAAACTTTTTAATTCTTTAATCTGTAGATTCTAATTCCTAGATAGTTCATTCATATCATTTGCAAATAATAGTTTTTGTCTTCCTTTTCTATCTTTATAACTTTTCTTTTTCTTGCTTTATTACCCTTGTTATCTAACCTCTAGTTCAGTGCTGAACAGCAGTGGTGATTGCAGGTACCCTTGTCTTATGCCTGATCTGAAAGGGAAAGTTTTCATTGTTTTATCATTAAGTGTGAAGTTTATTTTAGTGTTTTTTGAGCTATTCTTTATAATATTAAGGGAATGACTATCTATTTTCATTCTTTGCTAAGATGTTTTGTTTTATGAGGAATAAATGAATTTTATTACATCTTCTGCATTCACTGATAAGAGCTCCTCCAATCTGTTAATGTAATTAAAAATATTGGTTTTTTTTCAAAGTTAACACAACCTTAAATTCCTGTAATAAATGCAACTTCTCTGTCATATATTACATTTTGTATGTATCTAGATTTTGTTTGGTAATGTTTTTATACAAATTTTGCATCTCTGGTTTAATTCTTTCTCTACTGCCCTTGTCAAGTTTCAAGATTACATTATTTTATAAAACACTTTTTTTTATGTGCTTTGTATTTTTCTATACTCTGGATAAATTTGTGAAAGAATAGAATTATATCTTTCTTGAATTTTCAAAGACCTCATTAATAAAGTCATTAGCCTGGAGTTTTTTGAGGAGCACGTTCAACTATTGGTTCAATTTATTTATTGGTTATAGGACAATGCAGATTTTCTATTTCTTCTTGAGTCAGTTTTAGTTAATTATATTTTATCCTAGGAAAACGTTTTCATCTCATCAAAATTTTCAGTTTTTCACCATAACATTTTTTTGTTCAAGGTTTCAGTGTTTGTAGTTTTTCATTCCTGAAATTGGATGACTTCTCTTTTCTGGGTGGGATAATTCTTACCAGTAGTTATTTTATTGCTCTTGAAAAGAATCAACTCTTGCAGATTTTTTTCTATTGTTAATTCACTTTCTACTTTATTAATTTCTATTCTCTTGTTAAGTATTTTTTCCCTTCTTTTTTTGTGGGTTTAATTTGATGCTGTCTTTCTAACTTCCAGAATAGATACTTAGTTTTCAACTTTGAAGGGTAAAAAAAATTCCTCTAAGTATTATTCTAGCTATATGCCATGCAATTTCCATAAGTCCATTGTTTTAAGTGTTACTTTTTAATGTTATCTCCTTTTAAAACACTTCAATTTTGGTTTGTTACTGGCATATAGAAGCACAATTGATTTCTGTATAAGTGTTACTTTTTAATGTTATCTCCTTTTAAAACACTTCAATTTTGGTTTGTTACTGGCATATAGAAGCACAATTGATTTCTGTATATTAAGTATTGACAGCTTGGATGCTAAGTCCTTTAGAACTTGTTTTGTAGGCCATATGGTCTTTGTTGCAACAACTTAATTCTGCTATTGTGAAGAATAGCAACTGTGTTGCTATAGAGTGAAAGCAACCATAGACAATATACAAATAAATGGCTGTGTTTCAATAAAACTTCATGGGCAGTGAAATTTCAATCCCATAGACTTTTCCTTTTTCATGAAATATAATTTTCTCTTGATTTTTTTCAACCATTTTACATTAAAAAATGTAAAAGCCACTTTTTTTTTTTTAACAGCTCCTGGGCTGTACAAAAACAGGTGGCAGACAAGATGGTTTGCTGACCCCAGCTTTTTATTGCTGAATAAAAACATTCCATTGTATGCATCTACCCCAATTTGTGTATACATTTACCTGTTGATGAACATTTCAATTGTTTTTCGTTTTTGGCTATTACACATCAAGCTGCTATGGAGACATGTGTTCTTGGTAAGGACATATGCTTTCTTTTCTCTTGGGTAACTACCTAAAAGAGGAATAAGCTGGATCATATAGTAGTGGTCTTTTTGTCTTTCATTGGTTTTACTGAATTTTGTTTTTCCTTTCTTCCCTTTTTGGAGTATATATGTTCCACTTGTAATAATTTTGTTGTCTATTTTTAAATTTAAAAGAAACTTCCTAATTCTCTATGAATACTGAAGATTAACTAGTTCCTATTATTTTTTCCTTCCTAAAACAGATGACTTTTAGCAGCTTTTACTGCTGCATTTCCTCTCACCATCTTTCATGTAGTATTGAAATTACTCATATAGTTTCAGGTGGTTAATGTTTTTAATATTATGTTTCTACTTTTTAAAGAACTCCCATCTTACAACTTGCATTAAACTGTACAGCCAACTGCCAGCAATAATTTCAACCTAGCTGTATGTTTTGTTTCTCGACTTAATATTTTTCTTTTAGTTGTCCTCTGTCATCCTGTTTTCTTGGATTCCATTTCATATCTCTGGTATATGTTTTGAATTTTTTTCAAAATTGACATTTTCTGAAATTTTTGAGTCCTTATGTGTTAAAACATATTCTACCCCATAACTGAATTACAGTTTAAATATGAAAGCATTTTTTATTTCTTCTGGATTAGTGTTGTTTGAAAGGTCTCATCCGCGGCTAATTAATTTTATCTTTTTAGGGAACCAGTTTTTTGTTTTCTTTCTGGAAGCTTTGGGACAATCTTTTCATCCTTGCGGTTTCAGAATTTCCCTATTTATGTGAAAGTTTTTATCTTTTTCATTTTTCTTGTTCGACCTTTGATGAGCTCTTTCAATTATTCCACTCAAGTCTTTCTTAAGGTCAGAAAAATATTTTATTACTTCCTTAATTTTTTTTGCTCACATCACTCTATTCTGCATTTGTTGCTCATTTTTAGTGGATGTTGGCTTTCTTAGATTTGTCACCCAAGAGTCATCCACATAGCACATGATAGAATTCCCTTTTATGGCTGAATAATATTCCATGTATATATGTATCACATTTTGTTTCTCCATTCATCTGTTCATGGACATTTGGGTTGCTTCCACCTGTTTTGAATAATATGAATATTGTGAATGCTGCTGCTGTGAATGTTGGTATGCAGGTAACTCTTTGAATACCTGCTTTGAATTCCTTTTGGCTATATACCCAGAAGTGGAATTACTGGATCAAAATTTAAGTTTTTGAGCAACTGCCATACTGTTTTCCATAGTGGTCACACCATTTTACATTCCCACAACAGTGCAGGAGGGTTTCAGTTTCTCCACATCCTTGCCAATAGTTTATTTCATAATGGGTGTGAGATGATACCTCTTTGTGGTTTCATTTACATTGAACTATCTTTTAAAAGATATTTGGATAGTGGTCAGCCTCAGAAGCTAGAGGTAGTAACGCCCTCTGAGGCAAAGGTTAGATATGTTTGCTTATTTCCAATTATACAATATTTAGATTACCTAAGCTTGAGGTTCCTCAGCTGGGATGTAAACCTGCTGGGTGTGCAGCATCCATTTGAGTTCCTCTTTACCTGCATGCAACTTCAGGAGCAATGCAAACAGGAAGCTTATGCTACTTGGTATGCCCTAAGTGAGGAAGTCCTTTACTCTGACCCAAGAATCTTTGTCTTCCGCCAACATCCATGAAACTGGGGCAGAATAACTTACTAGTTTTCAAATAGGGTGAAAGCTGAGACCCTTCACAATAAATTAATTATAAAACTGAAAAGTGAGAACACATTTAATCTGTTTGAGTTCAATAGTAAAATAAATACATCTTATATAAGAATACTATACTCCTTTAAAAACAAGTGTTTCTGTTTTTCTTTTTCTGTCCATATTAGTGCTGAGTATCATGAGCGGCTAAGTAAAATTGATAAGCTGAAGAATAGATACGAAATTCTTACTATTGTTATGCTGCCTCCTGAAGAAGAGGAGAAAACACAGGCCTATTATGTAATAAAGGTAATCTTGATTTACAGTTGTGATAGAATGAAGTATTTTTTTGTTAGCTCTTTGTTAACAACCATTTTTTCTTTTTGCCATGAAATTAAAAATTTCATAGCATCCTAGTAGCTATTGCACTTAATTAGGGCCATAAAACATTAGCTACTAGATGAAGGTACTGAATTTTATATACCTCCAGTATGAGGTCAGAGATATGCATGCTATTCCTGTCAGCCCTTAATTGGAAAAGTCCTTTAGAACTTTTTGGGTACAATCCTAGAGAGCCCAGCCCAGTGGCAGAGTTAAGGTGGAAAAAGTCACTAAGTATGTCCACTATTGAGGAATTCCTAGTTTTCAGCAACCTATTGACTTTTTTTCTAGACACATTTATCACAATTATCTTTATGCAATTAAAAAAATTATTTTTAAAATGTAAAATAAAAAGTTCACCATTTAACAATTTTTAAGTATATAGTTTGATGGTATTAAGTACATTCACATTGTTGTGCAACCAACACCAACACCCATCTCCTGAACTTTTTTCATCTTCCAAAACTGAAACTGCCAATTATTAAAGAATAACTCCCCTTTCCCCTCCCTCCAGCCTTGGCACCCATCATTGTACTTTCTATCCCTATGAATTTGACTACTCTAGGTATTTAAATGGAATCATGCAGTGCTTTTCCTGAAAAAATATGGAACACCTCACAAATATGCACGTCATCCTTGTGTTGGTGCCAGGATCATCCTTTCTGTATTATTCCAATTTCATATTTGCTGTTGAAGCAAGTATTCTAATTTTAACATTACTTGCATGATTAAAGATCTTGAAATCCTACTTCTAAGAACACATGTAACTGGGTTGAAAATGATAGGCATTTACTTTCCTGGGTGTACTTACTCACCTCTTTCACTCCTAAGACTTAAAATGAGAAAGTGTTCTTAAGCTTTCCTCAGGCCAAAAATATCCATTCTTATTTAATATGTAGTTTGATACCTCCTCCTAGTTAACCCTATTTGTCTTCTCGGTAAAGTTTACACCTGCTTAACTTTTTTGTACTTTTTTTTGGAGAGTTTTAATGTGAACTTTGGTTAGTTACTACATTTCCATCATGATTTTGTATCCTATGTGCTGTATTTTAAAGGCATTGAGGTTGAGGTCTTCTCTAAATGAAGTGCAAGAAATAAATGCTTGGTGCTAGAGGGGCCCCAGGGTAAACATGTATTGTTTTAAGTTAACTATTTTCTGCCCTAAACAGATTCTCTCCATGATCAATGCTTTAATTCAACCAGTTCTATTCTATATTTCATAGGCTGCTCAGGAAAAAGAAGAACTTCAAAGGGAAGGTGACAGCTTGGATGCTAAGATCAGTAAAGCCGAAAAAGAAATCTGTGCTCTAGAGAACACCCTCCAAGTGCTGAACAGCTGCAACAACAATTACAAGCAGTCTTTTAAAAAAGTGACTCCATCTAGTATGCAGGAGTTATTACAGTTTTATGAATGAATATATGCAATGAAAGCTATACAATTATTTTTAAAAAAGAGGGACACTGTGAGGCAAGGAAATAAAAATATACTGTTTGACTGAATCAGAAACACTAGTCACCCCTGCCCCCAACCCCCACCTTTGAAATAAGTGCAAAGGTGTTATTTCCATTTTTAGTTCTAGTTCTATGGCATGTCACTCTCTTGGGAACTAATTTCAAATATGAAGAAAATAACAGTACACTGGCTGCTCTATGTTTCAATACAAGAATGGCAACTACATGCTCATACTGTTTTTCAACAAGTAGACAAAAGGAATTTAACCTTTCATAACAAAAAATGATAGTTTAATACATGTAATTTATGTAAGATTGCTTTCTACACAGCATGTTAAAAATTTAAACTAAAAGCTCTCTAAATTCTAGGTGATGAGTATGAGCTAAAAATCCAACTAGAAGAACAAAAAAAGGCTGCTGATGAAAAATACAGATACAAACAAAGACAAGTCAGAGAACTACAGGAAGATATCCAGGTAAATTCCATAGGCCTGAGTAATAAGCCCTTAGTAAAAATTAACTATTATTATTATTCATTATTCCTACTCTCTTATGTTGTACAAAGATGACAAATTTTTAGAGAAGTAAGATGAGATGTCATTTAAATGAGAGAAAAAAGTGATCAAAGTATTAAATAAATTAGTTAAAATCCTAGGGCTAAGCACAGTATGGACCTCTGATAATTATTTGTTAATTAGCTGATCAATCATAGCTAGCCAATTATGACCTATTTGCTATCTTTTAACTATTATTTCACTTAATTCCTTAAAGATTGCTCCTTTAAATAAAAAAGTTTGAAAGATAAAAATAATCTAGTATCAAGTAGTTACTTAAGCACATCTCTGAAAGAGAAAACTGTGCTTGGTATAGTGGCTGTATAAAATTTTAGATTTTTTTTGGCTAATAAAGGTGAAGGAACAGATCGTGTGAATTGTGAATTTCTGAAAACTGCATGCTTTCAACAATCAGTTTGAATTGTTTACTTCCCCCCCAAAATCGTAAAAATGCCTTACAGTGGAATTATATACAAAACTGAATCCATAAAACCATTCTACTTATAATCTACCATTAGAATGTACATTATATACAAAATTAAATGAATTAAAATTTAGTTGACAAATGGCAAGTTATAAAAATCATTTTTTATTCTAACCAGTATGTTAATACTTTATTTTGTGCAGAGCATGGAGAATACTTTAGCAGTTATAGAACATTTAACAAATAACTTCAAAGAAAAATTATCAGAGAAGCAGGCTTATTCATTTCAACTAAGTAGAGAAACAGAGGAGCAGAAGCCAAAATTAGAGAGAGTAACTAAACAGGTACTGATAACTCTTTAAAAAACTGACCTGTCATATTTACATTTTTGGAGTAATATTTACATATTTATATTTTATTTACATTTTGCCATAATGGTAAACCCCAATCCTCCTTCATCCATTAAAAAACACTAACTTATGGAAAATAGGTTTAAGTAATTTACTATTTATTGATCAACAGTGTGCAAAACTCACCAAGGAAATCCGTCTTTTGAAACATACAAAAGATGAAACACTAGAAGAACAAGACATCAAACTTCGTGAAGTGAAACAGTTTCACAAGATCATTGATGAAATGTTAGTTGATGTCACAGAAGAAAATGCTGAGATTCGTATTATCCTTCAAACATCCTTTCAACAGGTAATACCACCTTCTGATTATATATAAGTATTTCTTAAATCCTTCATAAAGAATTTAAGGCATTCAGAAGGTGAAATCTAATTAAAATATATTCTTTCTGAAATAAAGTGATACTAATGATTGCTATTGAATATTCTTCCAGAATGGCTTAGAACTACCTATAACTAGTACTAAAGGCAGTCATCAGAGTTCTAGATCTCCTTCACAGACATCACAGTTGTCAGCAAGGTAAGTAGGTTAAGAAACCAAGTCCTTAACTCTCACAGCTTCTAGCCTAAGTGAACCCAGCAACTTGCACATCACGAAAGCTGATGCACCTGCCAGTGCTCTCCTGACCCTTTCCTGCTGTTCTAGGTCAGTGTCACATAGGCAGAGAACAGCCAGCAGAGCAAGACTTTCCTTCCGACTTAACTAGTGTCACCATTTCTATTATGGCACAAAGTGCTTTGTGACTACCAGCTATTTCAGTAGGTGAAGCAGGGTGAAACTTTGGAGGCTTTATATAGCATGCAACCGAGTAGGGGCTGAATTTTTTAAAGCATAAAAGGGCAACTTGTATAGGCATATGGAGTATGCTTTTTAATGATTAAAACCACAGGATTTGGTTTTACTTATGCTGCTTAATTTTGCCAGAAAGTAAGTTATTCTTTATTCATGTGGTTTAGTTTTATCCACAATTTTATCATCAGGTAGATATTTAATTAATACTGTTGTGTTTTGCTGACAAAAATTGATGATCATAATTTAAAAATTCCCAATCTCCTGCATTCAGCAGCCAGTTTTTCATTAGTTCAGAGAGATTTCACAAAGAAAAATGGACACCATAAAAGATGATTTTTAAGTAAAAAAAAAAAGTTTCTGTATAACACGGTGAGTAGCCACTTGAACATCCCTGTACTTTCATAAAATATATACATTTCTAAAACCTATTTAGCATTCCAGAATTATATGGCTAGTTATGCTTTTCAGACAACCCCACTTTATCCTGTTAATAGGCCTCTCACTTTTTTTCTGTTTGGCTTAAATTATATAACCTATCATATTTTAGTTACTCTTGCTAGCATCCAAATTCCCATGACCCTCTTCTGTTACTTCTTATGCTTAATGATTTTTGCAAACCTTTAATGCTTAATGATTCCATCTCTAAACTGATTATAGTTGAAAACCTTTCTCTCTTGTTGAAATATTGTTCTCCTGGTTTGAAACTTTGTGTTCATTACCTTTCTTTTCCTTTGTTTTAAACTAATTTCTGATATTATTAATGGTCATACTTTAAAAATGTATTACTAACATTATTAATAGTATATACTTTTTGATCTCTAATTACTTATGGGATTATGGTATCTTTACCATAAATGAGGGGCCTCTACTGAAATACATTTTGAATTAAATTTACAGTAGTTGTTTTTTCTTCTAGGTCATCCAGAAGTACTGCCACTTCTCAGTCTTCAGTTAAAATATTAGATCTGCACTTCCCAGCATCCTGTCCACTAACTGGCAGCACTTCCAGGCCAGCTAGCACTAGCAGTAGCTCCAGTAATGGTAAAAGCAAAAAGGGCAGCAAATAAACTCTCTTTTTGAGCAAGTTTTAAGCACAAAACCAAGTCACTTTTAAAATAGCGTATCCCACTCCATTTTAAAGGTCTACATAAAAGTGTTAGAAATATGAAATGACTGAAGTTTTATCCAGTGGAAAATGTAAAAACTGATAGTTAAAAAAAAGTCAAGCAATTTATGTGTCCAAATAATCCAAATAAACATTTAATTTTCTTAGCTTTTTTCCTACTATTTTCTTCACATAGGTGGAAAGCAGTAATACCAGATTCTTAACAAGGCTACATACAACACTAGCCATGAAATGACACTTACTTCTAATGTTCTTTCAGAAAGAAATTTCTAAAGAGTCACTGTACCATAAAGAGTTTATACTACTATTAAAATACTCATTTACCTTTGAAGATCCTGAAGTTAGGTTTTATTTTTCCAAAGAAACATTTTTCCTAGACTTTTGGGGACATAAATCTATTAGTTTCTTCTTTTGATATAATTTAAAAATGTAACCAAAAAGATAGCATTACCTCCTCCCAACCCCAGCAAGAAAACAATGATAGGAAAGAGAAACACTGTATAGCAAGAAAAATACAGCTTAAATTTCTAGGAATTACTCTGACCTTTAAAGAAGTCAAATACATTACAGATTTTGCTCTCAAGATACAGACAGCCAAGCATAAAGAATAAGAATGTATTAAACAATTTAAAGAAAGGAAAGCCTGATTTGATTTGCAATAGCAGTTTCATAAATTTACACTGGAGATTTAGAATTTCGTTACTCCAGTTAATACTTCAACATGTACCCAACACTTTGAATTTCTGGAATAGTGTGCGGTAAGTTATAAAGCTAAGTTTTTAAATAAATGTATTAGAAATGAATACTGTTTCCTTCAAACCTTGGAAACAAGTATTTGTTATGACAACTGTTACTGTTTAGTACTGTCATTTACAGCTCCTTCTGAAAGTCAGCAGTGGTAGTAAACCTGATTTGAACATTTTACTATGATTAGTTTTAGAAATAGCCAGCAAAAAGCATAGCCAAGTCCAATGAGTAAGAATGGTAAAAGAGCTGGATAATATGATTTTCAGTAAAACATTGTTCTAATGAGTGAGATTTATTTTATAAGAACTAAAAAAACTGATTATAACCTTATGGTCACTTTGTTCACCAAAGTTCTATTCTTTGCCCTATATTACTCTGTAAATAACTTGGAACTTAAAATAATATTAAATGGTATTCTATGAAGGCAGGGACTGTCTTATTATCTCTGTGAACCTGGGAAATAAAGGCTACATACAACTACAGGGAAAATGTTTTCACTGTCTTATTATCTCTGTGAACCTGGGAAATAAAGGCTACATACAACTACAGGGAAAATGTTTTCACTGTCTTATCTCTGTGAACCTGGGAAATAAGGCTACATACAACTACAGGGAAAATGTTTACTGGGAAAGTTACTTGTTTTTTCCTCATTTGTAATATAGAGATACTAATAGTTACCTATATCACAAGTTTATTCAAATATTCAGTTAATATATACAAAAGGCACAGGGCCTGGCACATACAAACTGCATTAACTTCTGTCTCTTAATGAGTCACCATCCAACACCTATCACTGTATCTGTGGAATGGTTATGTTCTCGGGCCAACACACAAGTCTGTATTAACTCTTAATAAATAGTTCTGACTTCAGTGTGATAATGCTAAATAGTGAGACAAGGGATCAAGCCCATTATCTCCAAATCTGGGGAGTTACCTTAATATCCACCTATTGTGTTAGAAAATCACTACTTATAGAAACCAAGACATATCTATGTGTGTACAAACTATAGACTTAATGATATTAAGGGGAAAAAAAAAAACTGAAGAAATCACTAGGGATTTCCGACAAATTCCCAGTAACATTTTTTGCTGTGACAAGTTTCCTGAACATATCTTTAGAAACTGGTTTATGTACTCTGCTTAAGTTTATTATGTCCCACGAAAGAAGCTCTGGGGAAGATGCAATTTCTAAATCCTGATAGGTTATTGTCTATGATACTGTTCTAATTGTTTTGTATCTGAACATTAAGCCACAAAGAAGCTTTGGAAAATTTCAGTGCTGGTTAACAGTGATATTCAAAGAGATTTTAGTAAATAAAAATGTAAAATCCTCAAGTTATAATAGGAATTCTTAAAGGTCAAGAAGACAGTTTTCACTCCTTAAAAAACAGCACTCTGTATGGATGATACCAGAGCTATTAATACATAGAAAGAACCGGAGACTCTTTTAAGGGAAGTTTCTCTTGGTACAAAGACTGATGCCTGAGTAACTGACCTATTTTTTAAAGTTTTGGTATTTTTCTGCTGCAAAGAACTGCAGGACAGAACAAGGACTAAAAGGGTTTTCTTCCTGTATTATTCTCTCACTTAGGCCTTTGTAGATGGACACTTACCTACTCCACAAAACATCCAGTGTCATCCTAAGTAATAGTATTAAAGGCCCCTTGTCACAGTGTCTAGTCTTAAATTGGAAGAATTATAAAGACCATTATAAACTCAACACCCATGACTCCTAACTGTATCTTTAGCTCTACTGTTTTCAATAATTTGGGGAAGATCCTTAAATCCAAGTATCTTTCTTCAGCTCTACTTGCTGCCATTTATTCTGAGTAAAACCAGGCTCTGTTGGCCTACTCATTTATTCAGACCCTAAGAAAGGAGGCCTCAGGGGAAGCATCAGGGTAGAGGAGGTGTTAAGGAAGGAAAGCAGAACTGCAGGCCAGCTCTAAGCTCCTTAAGGACATGCTCAGTGCCCTTCCAATTGGACATCTGCCACAATGGGACAGTTTCCCAATTTTTCTTTCCCTTAGGAGAAAATCAGATTTATAGTGTGCTTCTCTTGCCACTGCTGTCCTTGCTAAAAGGATTCTTTCCTTTTTTGATATAGTCTTGCAGGATTATAGTCTCTGAGGGTCTTGCCAATATTTAAAGCAAGGAAATTTCTTAGGGGTATACTGCTAGCACTAAGGTAAAAAGAAAAAAGAGAAATAAGCAAAAAAGCAAAATGATTCCCTATTCAACTTTCATGGCTTTATTCCTAAGGTATTTGTCAAGCTGATACACAAACCATTTTTAATTAAATTAAGCTTTAGAGGCCAATTAGACAAGACAGATAATGTCTACCTTCTAAAAATACACATTATACAAAAAATTTTAATATTCAATCTGATGAATATAAATTGGTACTTATGGAACATTCAAATGTATCTCTTTCAAAAGCTGAGGGCCTTTAATAGAAAAGGAATAAAATAACTTTTGATGAAAACAATCCAAATGTTCAATGCACAAATTTAATTTTCCTTCAAACAGCAGAATAAGCTGGACCCAAAGGATTTTCACACCCACAGTACAATGGGGATATAATACTTTGAGAATTACCATTAGGTGAAGTTTAAATCATCATTGTAAGAAATACTGTACATAAACATACACATGAAAAACCTAAAAATCAAGCTGTGAAAAGAGGATCTATAATGGAAACAAGTGTACTTTGAAAATAGCTGAAAAATGTTTGCCTTCTGCCACCTCTACAAATAAAGTTAGGAGCAGAGATTTCTGCACTGGACTGTTATGACTGAAAGATCCAAAACTTTCATTAACAGCCTTAGTGAGATGGTGCTAATTCCCTTGGCATATTAATTTTTTGGCTTATTTCCTTTTTCTTTCTCAAATGCAGCTATCTGATTAAATATGTTGAGTAAATTCTGAGGTAAATTTTTTTTAACTCCACTTTCTGACTGCTCTTTGCTATTTAGTTCAGCTTCACCTGGAACCTCTGTTTTAGTATCTTCCTCATAATTACCCTCTCTTTCATATTCTCCTTGATTTTTATTTAACTGGTATCTTTGCTCATGTCTACTGAAATCACGTGATCCAGAATAAGAGTATTTTTTATATTTTTCAACTGACTTCCAAGAGTAGTCTGAACTTGCTGGTGAAGTAGAATACCTCACAGGACCTGGCTCCCACCTTCTACTGTGCTCTTTTCTTCCCTCTGATTCTTTTTCACATCTTTTATAACCAGACATTTTTATCTTGTCCTCTGAATTCCTACAGAAGGAATCTGAGGAATCTCTTCTGGAAAAATGTCTTTCTGATTTATATGGCTTTTCTGTTTTGCTACCACCTGCCTGAGTTTTATAGGTATTATAAAAGTCTCTTGGATCTTCAGACCTACCTCCAAAATCATCCGGAATTTCAACTGAAGAGGAGAAAGGACATCTATCTTTTTCTTTTACCTGTTTCTTGTGATATGGTAACCTATCCTGCTTTTCCAGTAGTTTCTCCACTTCTTGTTTTTGGTTAAGAAAAGATGCTGAAGTATTGGCTGGAACTAGGAAGCACTCATCTTTCCTATTCTGATCTATCTGATTTGAGGATGTCTTTGCTGAATGCCTTTTGGAACTTCGAGAAGACTCTGAACGGTTCTTCTTATGTTTCTTATGCCTTTTGTGATCAGATGAGGAAGAAGATGAAGAAGAAACTGATTCATCAGCAGAAGATACACTTGAAGAAGAAGTTGATTTTCTTCTTTTCTTCTTTAGCCTAAAAAAATGTAGTTAACTCATTAGCTATGTTAAGTACAGATATGGTTAATTATCCATAAAGATTTTAGTTCTACTTTGTTCTATTTGAAGATTTCATAAAAGCTCCGGCTTAGATAAATAATTATTATGATCAAAAAAAGTTACTATAAGATCCATTTTTACTGTCAGGCATGACTTGGGTAAAACACTTGTATATATTGTTGTCAGTGTAAGCAAGTCCATCATTTCTGACAGATATAGTGACATTTCCATTATTACCTTAAAAACTCATACAATCTGAACATACAAAAGAGAATTGAAGCTCCATAGCTGGCTACCTCTAATGTAGTTTCTCCATCTCAGCACTACTGACATTTTCAGCTGAGTAACTGTTGGGAGGGCAGGGTGGTGATGAGGGTTGTCTTATATCACCATTGTAGGAAGTTAAGCAGCATCCCTGACCTCTACCCACTTCATGCCAGTAGCACTGTCAGTCAGGACAACCAAAAATTTTTTATCCTGGAGGACAAAATCAACCCCAGTTTTGAGAACCACTCCTCTAATTATAAAAAATTTCCCCTAAAATATGAACAATTAAAGTAACATATTTTAATTGTAAAGTTAATTCTCATCACCACCACCCACCCCCAAGACCCCAGTTGTAGCCTTAGATTCCACTTTGCTTAGTCTCTTTTACAGAAAAATTTGTGGTACATATATATGTACTAAGAATCCTTGATTATGACAAGAAATACTTGTACTTTTTTACTTACTTTACCTCCATATGGCACTGTGGGTCAATTCAGTAGTTGCTTTAAGTTTAAAAAATACTGATTATAGTTTACCTTTTCTCTTCTTTTAAGAGCTTACGCAATTTTTCTGCACTTGTTTCTATTTTCTTTGTTTTCTGCTTTTCTTCCTTTTCAGCTTGTTTTTCTCTTAATTCCAAAGATTTCTTTTAGAACCCAGATATCAGAAAAAACCACACGTTAAAATAGCAGAATATATGAAACCCAGTTTTCAAAAGACCACCACCCAACCAGAAACCACATGTGGTATACCCAAATCACCATATATCCAGTATTAAACAAGTATTTTTAACACATAAAAATTAATCATACAGGTGTTTGGCATTAATCATTGGAAAAGCCAGAACGGTATTGAGGACCATATTGCAGTTGGTATTCCAAGGAGAAAGGAGGAGCCATTGCATTGGTTCCCATGACCCAGAGTGCAAGGTATGGAAAAAATAATAAAAAATACATAATACATGAAAATATTTTAAAAATTGAAATTTTAAATAGGCCACAAATTTTATAAGTAAAATTCAAATAAAGAAATTCCATTAAGGTGAATTGAGGGAGGAATCACCATGTTCAAATACAAACCATTTAAAATATAGCACAGCCCAGTTGGACGCATGATTACACAAGAAATCATTTTCCAGTTTGAGGATGGGGATGAGCAGCACCAGATGTCACAGACACAGCAGCAATGGTCCCATTCAGAAGAAAATGCATGAGAAAACATCATCATCAGTATTACAGGAAAAGGCAGTTTAAAATATTTCTCAAAAAGGTTTTAATAATTTGCTCAATTACAGTAACATCTGTGAATATTGTAACCACCAGGAAAGCTCACTACAAGGACAGCTCTCAAAACCACATACCAAATTTAGGCAACAGAAATTTTCTCATAGGGCTATTTTTACTTTTGAGTACAACAAATAAAAAACAGAGGCACTATGAAGCAAACTCAATCAGAAAAATCTGTATCTCAAAAGAAAGTTCTCATAATGTCGTAAGTAATCTAGAATCACTTTGCCCGAGAAAGTTTAGCTTTGGTATTAATTTCAAACATCACTGAATTTCTAAGAGGAAATAAAGAATCACCTGCATGTATTTATGAAGTTTCTGCAAAGCATCCTCTGCATCCGTGAAAGTCTCATCTAAAGCCAACGCTTTCTTATAGTAACTTTCAGCATTTAAAAACTTTTCTTCTTCTTCTAACCTAAATTTGGGAGGAAGATTTAACTTTTTTGTAAAAACAAAAAGTCCTCAAATATGCATACAGGTCAGAGGCTTATATTAGAGAACTAATTAGGGGAAAATACGTTTAACAAATTATTTTCCAAACTGAACAATACCTAAGTCATATACCTCTTACTGCTGCTATTCTTTGGTAAAAAGACCAAATGAAATTACATAAAACAAAACAAAAAACAGATACAGAAAACAGATTGGTGGTTGCCAGAGTGGAGACAGGCAGTGGGTGAAATGGGTGAAGATGGTCAAAAGGTAGAAAAAGAAACTTCTAGTTATGAGATAAATTAGATCCTGGGGATCTAATATACAGCATGGTGGTACAATAAGTAATACTGTATACATTTGAAAGTTGCTAAGAGAGCCAATTTTAAAAGTTTTCACCACAAGAAAAAAAAATGTTAACTATGTGTAATGATGGATAATAAGCCAACTTATTGTGGTCATCACTTGGCAATATATGCATATATTGAATCATGTTGTATATCAGAAACTAACAACATTATGTTAATTATATCTCAAAACAACAGCAACAAAGATAGGAATCCATTATTGGTAACCAAGCCATACTGTAGGTCCAGCACTGGCAGTTTAGTATCATACATGAAAGCACATGATCAGTTGATGTCTGTAAATTTAGTGTAATCTTGAGCTTTAGTGTAGAATTATGTAGTCTGGCTTCTCCCAGTTTATGAGAAATCTCCTTTTTACAGGAAAACTTTCCCAGAAAATTCACTGTTAAAAATTGGAAATATCAACACATACAGGCTTATCACAACCAACCTATAGGCAGGATAATTATTAAATGATGCTCACAAGTCTATGTCGTGAAAAATAAGATTTAGAAAGTTTGGATGTAGAGTAGTGAAAGAAACTTGCAAAATATTTCCAGTTTTTAGAAACTAGGAAAAAGCAATTACTGTAAAACAAAAAGAACCAATGGCTTCAATTTTTCATTTTTGTATCAGATTGGATGTGGACCAGAAGAAAATGATCAACATTTCTGGCTTGGTTAAACTGGATTGATGGTGTTGCTATTCACTCAGCTAAAAGGTACCAATACACAGGTAATGAGACAACCACATCTTAAGTAGGTACTAGGTAGCTACCTAGTGAGAAAGTTAAAAGTCACTCCAATCATTTGGGTCCAAGTAGAAGTTCCTATAAACTAAAAACAAATACTGAAAACTCATTAATTTGGGATTCTGGAATGATGATACAAACTGGACTGATCATATAAATTCATGAAACAGAAAAGAGATGACTGCATTTAAAAAATTAGTAAAAATATGCTATTAATTATAAATTGCTTTTTAATTATTAAAGCCAGCTGGTATGAAACTATTCATATATAAAGTACTATTTCTTTGAAATATTTTACATATATTAAACTGGTCTGTTAACCATTAAATATTTATGATATAACTGCTATGCAAGATTTTACACCAGCATCTCAGGGTGTCACAGGGTTTGCTCTTAATGATTTGCTTTTCTATTCAATCTGAGTTTTGTGAACTTTGCTGGATAGGATAGAGCACTAAGCTCAAAATAACAGCAAAATCTTATTCACAATTAACTACAGAGCTCTCAATTTATGTTTCTGGCATACTACTAGAATGATGAAATGAATTAAATTCCTCTCTATTATATCAAAAATTTCTAATGCATATCCAGAAAAAGAGTACTTAGCTAATCTCTTTATATATATTTCCATGTAATGAAAATAGATAATTCAGTACAATGAATTCAAGACACTAAAATATCTCCATTTATAAAGAACCTCAGTAATAAGGAAAAAGGACTAGAAAATTTAAAGAGGACCAATTTAAAAAACATTTTCAACCAAAATTGAAACTAAGAGTGTTCTGAATTGAGTTAAAGATGCTGTTTTTTAATATTAAGTTTAAGATTTTACAGTAGTTGATTGAACATCAGATGTCTACTATTGAAACAAAATCTGACACTTACTGCCCTCCTCTTTCTACAAGTGTCTGGCAGAGATATTTTCTTGCATTCCTGTGATTTGGACAGTTTTCTAAAGCAAGCTCAAAATCTTCTATTGCTTTGTTCAGACTTCCTTTTGTTGCATATCTAGAGATATGAAAAAAAATGAGAGGAATTTATCTTGTGAGATGTTCATAAATTTTGTACACATTTACCTTGTAAATATTCCTTAAAACCCATTATCTACTTACAATGCTCCCCGAGCTACCAAAGCTTCCACGTTTTGTTTGTCTATTTCTAGAGCCTTATTATATTCATTCATTGCATCCACGTGGCGTCCAACCTTAAAATAATCAACTCCAATCTTCACACTAAAAAGACATTTGTAAACCATCACAAACATTTCACAGAATATCTAAACAAAATGTTAGCATGGATAAATTTTTACAGCAAATCAATTCTGGCTAATATTTAGTCTTAAACAGTTTTGATATATCTAAGAAGCATTCTGCCTTTGAATAACTTCATTAACAAATATTTATGAAATCCAGATATCAATATACTAATTTCTTTTTAAAAAATTAAAAATACTGGCTAAAAAAAAGCTTTTTAAGTTTAAAACATAATGCCATTTGAAACACCTGTAAAAAAAAACTAATGTCAAAAGGCATCATTTCAATTCATTTATAAACAAATTTGGTATCAGTGATGAAATAAGAATACATCCCTTACCCTAACATTTTAGACTAGATAATACAATTGTTGAAAGACAAGGTATTCATACCATTTTAAAGCCCAAGATGCAGACTGTTTCTTTCTTAATGCAGAAGCAAAATCATCTTCAGAGAAATTTTTGCTATTAAAAGAAAAAGAAGTCAAACCAAATAAACTTTTTTTTGTAACTACACTTCATTCTGTCTTACAGGTAAAAACTCAACACTGAAAAAGTAAATCCCAAGCAAGAAATTTGTACTTCATCTATAAAAAATAACTCTTGAACTCTCAGGGAAGGCTATTATTGATAAACAGTATTTTTCTTGAGCATATACACAAGATTCTCATAAATCTTCTGTATCTTCCTCTACTTGGTCACATGGTACACATCTAACCACTGATAACAGACTCCGTTCCAAGATTCACCTAGTTCATTCACCCTTTGACATACTGGTGCCACCAGGCTTAGAAGTCAAATTTGTCCCTCAGTTATTAAACTTTTGAGTGTACCATTCACCTCAGCACTTAATAGAATAATATTGATTTACTATACCTTTGTAGGCCTCTCATTAAAGATGGTGGATTAGATTCATCTATTCCTAGTTTTTCTAGAAGGAATTCAACTACTCCTGGATTTACAAATCCCAAGGAACTCTGCATGATATTTTCGTAGGATTCCAAAGAATTGCTATTTAGTTCAACACCTCTCCTTTAAAAAAAACAAAACAAAAATTTAAAAATGACTAACATAATTAGCATGTCCCATTTCTGTTAAAGAAATAACATTATTCTATGGGGTTTAAATATTCATACCATTTTTGTACACAAAGGTGTGGCAGTATTATAACTGGTTCCTTTTACCAAGTTTGAAGAAATTTAAGGTTTATAAAAATAAAATACGCATATTTTGAAATTAAGAAAAATTAAAATTCTACTTTGTTGTCAGACAAAGTTTACTATGTTATAGTTAAGAAACTGTTTTGAAATTTATTTGTTGAAATAATGTGGACAAATTACCTGTAGTGCAAAGGAAGCTCTTCAGAACTAATTACACCTAATTTAATACCAGATAGGTGTGGTGGAAGAGATGAGCTATACAGAGATACTGCAAGCTTTTCATGGTATCTGTCAATATCTTTGATTCCAGCTTAAAAAAATAAGAAAACTAAAATGATTAACAACAAAGTGCAAATTAACATATAAAACATAAATCTTTACACATGCTATTTTCATTAAGTTTTCAAAATAAAAACAAAAATCTGAAGGCTGTGACTTTTGTTAATATGATGAAACCAATCACCTCGAATGATGTCACCTGTTTGGTAATATGATAAAGGATCCCCGTGGTTACTGTGAGAAGGCACATCTCTTAAAGGACAAAGAGCCTGCAAAGAGAAGTATTTTAAAACACCAAACATAACATTCTTTGGTGAGAAGTGTCTTCTTTTATCCTAGTTGTTCAGTATAAACAACTAATAATTGGTATGAACATTAAAAAAACAAATATCGTCCTGAAGTCTTAATTTAAATAAGGATTTTGATTGTAATTTCTGTGCCCAAACACAATAAAACAAGTTTTCTTGTTCAGTTCAAAAACTGATATCTCACACAATTTGCAATTCATTTTAGGAACTAAATATAAGTATGGATTATGAAACAAAAAGATATTCTGCACTTGTTACAAATAAAACTAAAATTTGTCCAGAAAATATGAAATTCCAATGAAAATGAAATGTGAATTCTTGAAATTTATATCTGTTATCCAGTCTGTGCTACCTTATGCATTTCTTCCCTTTTCATCTGCCTTGATAGATAGCACATATCAACCCCTTAAAGTGACACATTATTTCAAATTCTAGACTATTCATCTTGGGCAAAGTATCTTAAAATGCACAAATCACTTACATTTAAGTATTGTAAATACAGTATAAGTAGGACAGGAATGTGTCCCTAAATTATCTAGATGCAAATATCTAATGCCAAATACTAAATAATTAGGAACATGTTCAGCGAGAAGAAATAAGCTCAGAATATTAATTAGTATCACTATATCCACTAATATCTCTTCCAGCATTGAAAAAAGAACCCCACCCCTGCCAAGCAAAGGAACCAGAAAAACCTAAAAACCAGAAAGGGAGGATACTGTGTAACTTATACTGATAATTTTTTAAAAAGAAAAGGTACCTAATTTTTCTTCAATTAAACACATTTTTAAATTCTCAAAACTACACCACGAGGGTATCCTTAAGCACAACTGACGCAAAGACCTTATTCTTGCATTGACATGACTATCAAAAACAGAAACAATCAAATAATTGAAAAGTGAGTAACTTACTGTGATTTCTAAGTGGGATATATCTCTCATGATGCCACTGCCTAAACAAATCAACACCATGAAAAATCCAAATTCCCGAATGGAACTAATCCTTCCAATCACTATGTCACCACGCTCAATATCTCGGAAAAAGAGCTCTCTCCGATCCATACTAGGTATCTCCATGAACTGCTCTAAGGGTGGCATGACTGCATAATGATCTGAAAAATAATTGACAAAATTACTAACAATAGATTTGCGTTCTGCTTCATCTGAAGTGCTGTGAAATAACCCAAACCACAATAAAAAATGTTTAAGCCTAAACTCACCTTCATTGTCTTCACTAATTTCAGAAGTTGCGGGTGCATCTGATTTCCAGGAAAGTGCAAAAAGCAGATCTGCTTTTTTGGAAATGAATTTTTGTATTTCAATGTTGTCAACTTTCTTCTCTTTTCTTAAAAAAGAAAATATTTATGAAAACTGGTTTTATGGGCAAAACCTTTTAGTACGTCCAAGCTTCTGCTCACGACTTTGATCACCCAACCGGGTCCATCCCAAACTGCTGGCCATGTCCTCCGAGGAAAAGTTTTAGCCAGGGATTCCCTTTTGCCAGCCTGTAAGTGGAAGGCGGGGACACGTAGAAAGTAACGCCCGCAGCTCCAGATATGAAAGCCCAGGGGTTTCTGGCTTAAGAATCCGCGCCTCTGCTAGGCAGTCCAGCCCACTTCCCGCACTGTCCTCACACCATCAACGTGGGCCCTCCTTCCTCGACCCAGCTCTCCGCACCTGCGCCAAAGTCCCCAACGTGCTCGTGGCCACCGCGCCCCTGCTGGACTCAGCCGCCCGGCTGCGGGAGTGGAGCCCCGAGCAGTGCCCCTCCCCCGTCTCGCAGTGGCGCCACCAGCCCATTACCTGCCCGGTATCTGCTGCTGGGGCGGGGGACCCCTGGCAGGCTCAGCTGCAGTCCCCAGAAGGCTCCGGAAGTGCGGATTGTCCTGTTGTTCGTTCCGGAGCAGGGAAAGCAATGACGGCCCGTGGTAATTCAGTGACTGCCGCAGAAGGTCCCGGTCCATGGCTAGAAATTGCTGGGCCCAACGATCGGTGGGCTGCTGGGACCCCAGTTCTTTGGTCCCTACTTCAGCCCGGTGGTCCCAGGGGCCGAGGAAGCACCCTGGAAGCTGCTGGGGGCACACATCACAGATACTTCAGAGAATTGCCTCCCGGAAGTGTTCCGGGGTCTCCCCTAGGCGGCGCGACGAAGCCCAGCCTCCGTCTCGCGAAACTCAGCGAGACTACGGAGGCCGGAAGGATTGCGCTGAGCTTTTCTTGAGCTAAGGGCCGTCGGCGGCACCGAGGTAGTGTTGTGGGAAGTTTGCTCTTAGATTTCTGTGGTGTTAGTACATTGAAATAGCCTGAGCGCTAATATAGGATGTATAATAAAACGTCCTCTTGTTTAGTGCAACTCTGCTAAGTGCCAGTGCCAGGTTGAGAATCCCAAACGAGTTGAAAATGATCCTCAATCTGCTGGCTGGTTGAATCACTAGTTTCGGCGTAAGCACTTTAAAAAGGACTGTTTTGGGAGATTTCCTGGTAGGCTTAAGTGCAGCAGAAAAAAAAGGACACGTAACATTTATTAAGCACTGTGGTTTTGTTCTCCATCCATACCCCATTCACTGTAAGTAATTTTAGAATTAAAACCAGAATGACTTGAATTATTAGACATACGCATGTAGACATTCTTTTTTTTCTCAAAATGTAGTGCCCGTAAGATCTGCTGTGCAGTGTTGTGTACACTGAAGTCAATATACTAATGGGTAATCAAAGTAATTTTCAAAGGTAGTTGTGACTTAGGCTTTTTCTCTCTACTTAATGACTTGAGAACCTAACCCCTGTACCTCATTATATTCTTCATTTTAGAGATTGAGGAAATGGCCAGTGTAAATTTCCCAAGGTCATTCAGCTGGTAAAAGGCTAAAGTTAGGATCCCAACTTGGTTTTAATAGATCTTCACAGGATAGAATATTTTTTATTATAAGAAGGCCTAACTTGAATTTTTTGAGATAATAAGAAGGCTTTGTTTTATTTCATTATGTTGAAATCTGTACCACTTAAAAATGTGTGGGTTAGTATAGTCGCCTTGAACAAAAAATAACTGGAGCCATAATTCTCCCACCTCTACAGTTAGGTGTCTTTGGGAGATCGATTTGCCCTTAACTGTCTCAGCACCTGGATAGAAGACCCAGCGCAGAATACAGTGTATGCCCCTACACTATTTTGTGAATAATTCAGGGAAATATGTAAACAGTGTACTGAGGACTGGAAAAAATACAACAAAGAAAAAGACAAATTTGAAAGAGTAAATTTCATGCCACTATGGGCACATCGGGAAAGGTTGGTACAATGGTACCAGATTGATTTGTATTAACCCATAACTTATCTGTTATTAGGAAACAGAGCACTGTCATTGAAAGCTGACCACTAATAGTGAACTATATAGACATTGCAGTAAATGAAATACATGATTTTAGTTAGAGTTGATCTGTTATCAACGATCGAATGTCTTTGGAGAGACTGAGAAGCCCAGTGTCTGAGAACCATATGCCAGACTGTAGCACTTAGTCTGAGAATGCTACCTTGTGAGGCCATTCTTGGGTAGCAGATGCCTGTATTGTTATGGGATTGGTCTACTTTTTTTCTTACTTCCAACACCAGAGTAATCTCCAACCATTCCATATCTTGAACATCTAAAATTGCTGTGGTATTGTATATGTATAGTAGTGACAGGAAAAATAAACTTCAAGCAGGTGTAATCAAAACTCAGGCTGGGGTTTCCTATCTTGGGCTGGTGCTGCCCTTAAATGGAGGTAGTCATAGTAGTTAAGCACCAGAGCAGTCTTGTTCTTTACTTCTCAAATACTGCTCCACAGAAGGGGATTAAACCTTTTACAATTATAGGTGTATTTGAATCCATTTTTTGCCAGATAGTTACCCTTTGGTTTTGAAGGGGACAGAGCACTAGATCTTTGATGTAGGTCTGGAGGGAGGGGAGAAAAATTGAAGGGACTATTTTGCTTCTCATCTTAGAGAAACCAATCCCACATATGGGGCTTTGTAAGGTGGGCGTAGAAAGAAAACCTTCTTGCTTTAATTTTTTTGTTTGCTCATTTGACCTTAAAAAAAGTCGTTTGAAAATCTTTTCCAAATAACTTTTCCAGATTAAGCAGTATGTTTAATTAAGTGAATGTATGGAAAGAGAAAGCAGGGTATTCAAGACATTCAGATCTTTCTTGTCTGGATTCTGGACATGTTTTTTTTGTGATGTTGATCAAGTTCCATTTCTAAGTATACATCTTTTAACAAATACCCTTTAGGGCCTGGAGACATAAAGAAGAAAAAACACCTGATTCTTGAGTGGCACAACAATCAATAGAGGAGGAGACATAAGAAGAATTAGATATGGCACAGTGGTAAGTAGTATTGTGTGGACACCTACTAGGTTTCTGCTTAGATCCCCTTTTTTTTCTCGGGGGTGAAAATCTTTTCCAAATAACTTTTCTAGATTAAGCAGTATGTTTAATTAAGTGGGAGTTGATGGGGTTAAGACAAAAGAGAAGGAGGCAAGTATGTACATTCAGGAGGAAGGAATATCATTAAAGAAGTAGATATATGAAAAAGCAAGATACATTCTGGAGACTGCAAGTATAAAATCATGGTAATACGTAAGTGTGCTATTTCACATAGACTATAGTTTGATGGAAAGATAAATTTGGAGAGGCACAAGCAGCATATCTCAAAGACACCTTTCTTAAGTCCCTCAAGTTTCCCCAAAATAATGTACAGCTGTTAGTGACACTATATACAAAAGATAAAGTCTATCTGGATCTCAGAAACTTGTGTATTACCATATAGGAAGGACTTAACACAAATAATCTACGATTATATAAGAAATATTTGTAGAAAGACTCTTCTGGTGTTCCTGTGCTCTGGAGTTAACAATTTCAACACCTCCTCATTCTCTTCTGGTTAATGACATGTGTTTATCAGGAAAGAGTTGGTAAAACCAAATAGTACCCTAGGAGTATGTTAATCTCCTGAGTAATTTTTTGAGTAATCATCCTGAGTAAATTTATGGCTTGGATCCAAAAGTATCTTGACTAATTCACTAAGAAGCCACCAACTAGTAGCCTCTTTTTTACTTTGCCCTTTAAAAAATGAAGAAACAGATATGGAGAGGTTAATAATTTGTTCAAAAACTAACTTTAGAATTATCTTACTGCACATTTAGTACTCTTTCTACTGTTTAGAAGGTCAGCTGAAACCAAGCTCCTTAAGGATGTAGTTTGAAAATAAATATGAATGGAACTTATTTTATTTAAAAATTTCTATTGTTATTTTACTATCTAAAGATAGCCTTTAACCTTTTTCCTCTTGGTTTCATTCATAGGCACATGGCACAAGAGGTTTAGATTATAGCTTTGCTAGCCATATAGCTTTGTTCCATTCAAAGTCATCCTGAGCTGACTCAAGGAAGAATAAGGAATACTAAATGTAAAGTATGGCTAAATCAGCCAAAATTCCATCCTCATTATTAAAGAAATAGTTCAAACTGTAAGCCTTTCTGATAAGAGCTGGTATATCTTCATTCATCTATCTCTGTATGAAAGGATACCACTACTTTCTCTCATTTTTCACATCACAGACCAATACATCTCAAGAAAAACACTGTCAGTGTACTATTTATCCACTTGAGGGTGATATAGGATCATTGTGGGTATCAAATTTTCTCCCCATGACCAGGAAACCTACCAACTAAACAAGGATTCAGGGAGGGAGAATTGTGTTCTATTATATAGAGTCATTATAAGATAATGGTGTCTCTAACCTCTTTATTTTTTTAGCTACTAGTAAATATTTTGAGAATATTATTTTAATGTAAATCAGTTCACATCTCATTGTCTAGGATTGATTAGCTCAGTAATTTTAAATTAAGTTTTCCAAGAGGAGAAAACACAATTTCAGCTCTAGTATAGGCCACTTCTGAACAGACCCTGGGCTGAATTGCAGTGCTCCAGGATAAAGTGGTGGTGGTGGTGGTGGTGTGTTTGTATCATAATCCATGTACTCCCAGAGATCTACAATACTTGACCTTATTTGGTGGCCATCTGCAATACTATTCTCAGCTAGCCATTTTTTTCCATGTTTGTCTTTGTTTACAAAAAAGACTTGGACACAGAATGGGATATTTCTGAACAAATTCATCATGATTGTTGGAAAAAAAACAGTTGAAAGATGTATGTGATATTGACATGGGATAGGTCAGTGTGCTTGTCTTCAGGTACTTTGTTATGACTACTTATAAAGATATAAAAACACATACACATACTTCTTATATTTTCATTTGTGGCAGTTTCTCAGAATACTATGCCAGGGAACATGTCAGGGTTATAACCAAGAAAAATTGATGGTTTGATGCTAAACAAAAGAGTATTCTTTGCCATTCATTTTGGATTGGTTTGATACCCATTTTTAACACAATTTTAACTCTTTGAAAAAGGGTAATTCGCCATCTTTTAGTTATTAAATAATAACCCCTTTTTATTTTATTGATGGAAGCACCAAAGGGGGATTTCAGAAAGTAGAAATGTATTGTTGGTTTAGTGTATTGCCCTCCTTAATGGCATTGGAAGATCCAGCATATCTGGGTAAAGATTTAACTTTGAACCTATCCACTTTAGATATGACATTTGATTATTGGTAGATATAGAGTGGTCAAATATCCAAATGCAGCTAATTGAATGAGTGAATTCATTCATTCAGCAAATATTTTTTGGGGGGTTAGTCACTGTTTCAGAAGCTAGGCACATAAGAGTGAAAAAATACATCAAGATTCCTACCTTCAGTAGCATATATTCTGGTGGAGGGACACAGGCATAAGTAACAAACATAATAAATGAGTAAATTATATAGTTTATTATAACGTGATAAATCCTACAGAGAAAGAAATAAATCAGAGTAAGGGGCATTCAAAGTGTGAAGGGGTAGGTTTAGCAATTTTAAAAAGAATGGCCAGGGCAGGTCTCATTGAGAAGATAACATTTGAGAAAGACTTGAAGGAGATGAAAGAATTGATCATCACCTTATTTGGAAGAAAAGAGTTCCAGGCAGAGGGAAGAGCCAGTACAAAGGTCCTAAGGCAGGAAGGTACTTGGTATATTGAGGAGCAGTGAGGAAGGCAGTGTGGCAGGAATAGAGAGAGCATGGAGGTACAGGGTTTGTAGACTATTGGAGAAACTTGGCCTTTTTTCCTCAGTGGAATGGAAGTTGCTTCAGGGTTTTAAACAGAAAGGCACACTGTCACTTTCATTATAAAAGGATCACTTTGGCTGCTGTATAGGTTGGAGTTAATTAAATACCTGTTGCTCATAACAGAAGGGAAAAGTTTTAAAGAAGACTAAATATCTCTTATCTCTTAGGAAATATAATTTGATTTTACAATTACCCATCACTGCATAAAATGAGAAAATGAAATTTCAACAGCTAAAATAAGGCTAAGAATGTGAGCAACCATTACCATGAGTAGGGAGTTAGCATAGTGTAAATAGTTTAGCCCAGGAGCCTCAGCTGTGTTTAGGGGGCAGATCTTCTGATCGCTCAAGCCTTAACATTTTCTGTTCCAAGGTAAAAACTTCCAAGAGCTGAAACTGCCATGTGTCTCTTTAAGTCACTGTTCTTTTTTTGTGAAACTGGTATGACATTTTTTTCCTTTTGTATTGCATTGCTGGTAAGGTTGGGTTTGTACTGTGGATAGTCTGCTTGAATGAATGAGATTCTGTAGTTCCAATGGGTTGTGGTTAAAAAAGAGACTCACCACAGAAGTTACAGAATGAGACTGGCTAGTCATTCTCAGGAAGTGTCAGTGTGGCAGTTCCATGATGTGGTCATTATGTTCATGATACTATTTTTTAGGTGCAGAAATTCAAGGCAGCCTTGCCAGACTGATGCACACTAACCAAACTAACTAGACACTGATTTAGAAACCATATTGGTGATGTATTAACGGTTCAGTACAAAAGCTATGTGGACCAGAAACTCATATCGAATATCAATATATTTTTCCGTGAGAAACCAGCTTTAGTCAGAAGTTTGTGAGCCTGGAATCAAAGCAAAAGCAGGCTGTTGGGTGATAATGACTGATTCCTTCAAACTAATCCTATGCATTCATTTCCTCTGTATGAATATTCCTGCTACAGCTATCAGATACTCTGCTCACCTAGGCACCGCCTTCCCTCTATCTATCTATCTATCTATCTATCTATCTATCTATCTATCTATCTATCTATCTGTCTATCATCTACCTATCATTGTCTGTCTAGCCATCCATCTTTGTTCCTGTTTTAGCAGTTGTATTCTCCATGTATACATACTGCTAGTTTTGAAGTAGTTTTCAAAAATTTTTTAGAAAACTTTCTTAAAATGGAAGCCCAGTATACAAAACAGAACCGAATTACCTTTGTTGAGACAATGACAGGAAGATACTGGGAACTCAGGCTATTAATTCCTCTCCTCCACACCCTTCCCTTCCCCCCATTCACATACTAAATTATGGTTGGAGAGGTACCTTTAAGGAGTATCTCAGACTTGTTAACAGATTACTTCTTCAGGTAGAATTCAATGTCATTGATTATGTTTCAGCTTAAGTTATAACTATATTCTAATCATTCTCTGTGTCTATACTGTAGTCACTCTGGAACTGTGTATTTCTCACACTCTCCAGGTATACACACATTTTCTCTTCTGCTTGTAGCCACTTTCACAGATGGTGATTCTTGTGTCTTATGGTTTGATCCTTCCTGGTTTCACTTTCTTAGACAGTAATCTGATTTCCAAGTTCAGAAGGATTCCATTCTTTATCCTAATAAATTCACTGTAAAGCCCTTTATGATCTGATCTCTGCCTTTAGTCTATCTTCTTTTCAACCCTATCAATCACTGGAATTTTCTGATACTTCCTAAATACTTCTCCACTTCAGAGCTATTGTGCTTGTTGTTTTCTGAAATGTTCTTCCCTTACTTTCTTTATTTTCTTTTTATCTTCAGTTCTCAGCTTAAAGGTGACCTGTTCTCTCTCACTTATTATAATTCTATTTACTTCCACCATAAGGGTTACCATAATTTATTTCCTTACTGATTGTCTGGCTTCTACAGTAAAATACATGATTCATGAAAGCAGGTCCATATCTGTCTTGTTTATGACTTTGTACTCAAAAAGTAGCTCAATGCCTGGCATATATGAGGTACTCAATAAATATGTTTGAGTGAATGAATGACAATGTACAAATAATTTACATGAAGATATAACACTCAGAGTAAGGGATGGGACTTAATATGGCATATATGTCCCTTTATATTTTTCTTCTCCTTGTTTGTATTTGGTTTTTGTCTTTTATCTTGTGTTAGTCATTGTTGATTTCAATGTATCTATAACTAAGGATAGTCTCTCTGAGGTGTAACTAGGGTAGTTTCTCTACAGTGTTCTATGTATGTAGAATAAATATCTGCATACTTGCATTAGGGTTCTCCAAAGAGGCAGAATCGGTGGGATATGTGTCTGTCCCCCATATGTGTGTTTGTGTGTGTGTGTGTGTGTGTGTGTGTGTGTTTGTGTATGTACATATATATTTGATTATAGAGCCTGGAAAGTCCAAATCTGCAGTGTGGTCTTGCAGGCTAGAAACCCAGGAAAAGCCACTGCTATCGTTCAAGTCTGAAAGTCATCATGCTGGTGAGCCAGGAAGAGCTGATTGGCAGTACAAATTTGAGGGCCATGAACTGACAGAATTCCCTCTGTCTTGTGTGTGAGTGTGTGTGTGTGTGTGTGTTTGAGGGCCATGAACTGACAGAATTCCCTCTTGCTCAGGGAATGTCAGTGTATATGATACATAAAATTAACTATCACAAGTGTGTTACACTTCAGTGCCACATTTTGAGACATGTACTGCTTATTTGGATCAACACTGTGATGGTGAAGCAGCTGGAGACCCATTATATATGAAGAACAGATGGAGGACTGGAAATGTTTAGAAATTCTACATCATTCAATTTACTGTGTTCCACATTGGTCCAAAAGCAGTGTCCCTCTGAATTCCATCATCACTTCTTTCTTATATCAGAGTTGTAATATGAATTGTAGACATTTTACTGTTGTCTGGTTTACAAATGCTTTAATTTCAATTAAGGGCCTTTATTAACAGAATGTCTAAGCTTGTAATGCTTTTATTTGCTATTTCCAGTATCTAGTACTTAAGGAGATTCCTTATCCACTGTGGGATTTCTGCAAAAGAACTAAGATATTGAGCACTGAATAAAAAATTATCTCCCATTTTATATTGGCTCCAGGTGACTTCCCTTTTTGGGCTGTAAGTATCACTCCTAACTGTAGCAGGTTTTGCTGTTAACCATTTCATGCCCATTTCTGTAGCCATATTTCAGCCCCTTCCCCAGCAGTAACAAAACAAACTGCATCATGTTTTAGAAGTTTTGGGTTTCATTTTTATTGTTATTTTTCTGTGACACTTAGACCATTCATTAGTTGATGATTCAAAATTTATTGTATTCAATTGCACTGGCATCATGGTGACCAGCATGAGTAGGAGAATTGCATGTAATTCATTTATTCACTTAATATTTATTGAATACCTGCTTGTGCCAAGTAGCTCTAGGTGCTGGAATACAGTGATGAACAAGTCTTAGAAACATCCTAATTGAAAAAAGATGGCATGAATGGTTATCGCTGATGTTCAACTTTCACCCTGATGAGTGAATTAATGATTCATCAGGATGAAAGATTTAACCCTTAATTCTATACCTATGGACTTGGATATGAAAAGAAAGTGGATTATATTTACTGCTTTTATCAGTTCTGCAGAATTAAAGAACTAGTACACTTGTTACAATGTAAAGATATACAGAATAAAATTCACAACGGTATAGTATTATTTAACAATAATGTGTAACAAATGCCATCACACTGATTATCTCTGTATAATTAAAAAGTATTTCCATACCTTTGGCATTGGCTCTTATTTGGCCGAACTCAGGTAACTTATTTCCTGAATTATATAGTAGAAGAGTTTCTGTAGGACTCTTGGAATTAGTGGCATAAGAACTGAATCAGTGACACTTTTATACCATATATTGGAAATTTGTTTTATGGAATATTCTGAGTTGGCATAACATCCCCTTTCCCAGCATTCCAGTGTTCAAGGAAAAGGAGAAAGTTGAATTGTGAACAAGTGTTATGATAGATTATATTAAAAGTGATTAAACAAAAATATGTTTCATATAAGAAATACTAAGTGGATTGATAGCACATTGCTGCTGAAATTTTCTGGGCCATCTCAGTATTTACAAACCTACTTACCTATTTGTCTTTTCAAATATTGGTGCCTTACTTCACCTAAGAACTCATTTGTGAGACTTTTTGGCATGTTTGCCCATTTAGGTTGTATACTCTCAGTTTCCCTGAAACTTATAAATGTTCATTTCCGTTTCTCCTAAGATCCATGCAAATACCCATGTTCACCTGGGGTGTGTGACACACTGCCTCCTACATCTCAAGTCTTGGAGAGAATCATGAAAATCCTCTCACATCTTCCTCAGTTGAGCTTTTGTTTGCTCTCTTCTAGTACATTATGTTTTATTTTCCCAAGGACATGCAGTGAGCAAATGCTTGCTCTGTATCTTGTCATTGACTGCAGCCTCTTGTATCATTAAGTCTGAAACTCTTTAGCTTTATTAGGAAAGAGGAAAACTTAATTCCTTCTTTGCTCTCCAGGAACTTGCTCTCATTTTTAGTTGCTATCTCCTTCCTCTCTTCCAGTAAATTTTCTTGTATCCTGTTTATGAATCAGTCTTCTGGCTCTTTCTACACCACTTATCTTGATCATAGTTATTAGAGTAGTAATAACATTGACTATACAATTTAGTTTCCATATCTAAGGAAAGGCATGACAGTATGATTTATAAATTATTAATTGATTTTTTTTCTGGTCCAAATAATTAAATGTTGATCCTTTCCTCAGTTGGGTACCTAGAAGTATACCCATTATTTTAGGGATTGCCAATAGTAGTATAAAAGGAGAATAGCAAAAGCTTTGATTTTTACTTGCAGCTATGACTAATTAAAAGGTGCTAGACTAACCTTTCCATAGTGAACAACCAAAAAATACTGGACAGAATATATGAAACCACTGTTTTCAGACATTGTACAATAGGAAATGCAGGACTGCAGGGTTTTGAGACAAGGGAATCAAACTAGCTAAGACTTAGGATTTCTGGCTGGAGGCACTTAAGGGAGAGTGGTGGAGAGAGTGGAACCTAGACAGAGTGTGGCAGCCTTGCTGGACTGAGGAGACAGATAAGGAATTCAGGAAGGCCTAACCAACTGGAATTAATGAGGCAGAGGACCAAAGGGGAGGGTGCTAAGCAGGGAAAGAAACTCCAGTAGTTTACATAGATGTCCCTTTCAGTAGTCGAATACTAAGCTGTACAAACGTAGGGTGAGACTCACACATAGCCAGACAAAGAACAACTACAGGGAACTGTTAAGGTGCATAACCATCAGAGTTTCACAGTGTTGTGAGATGTTTGAATTCTGACTAAGTAGGGTGCAAAGGCCTGTTGACACTCAGGGAACCTCAGGGAATTCAACAGAAATCCCTGAAAGGCTACACTTTTAGTTTTAGTCCTAAAAAGAGAGGCTTAAACTACCCCTAGAGTAAAGTCTATTTTAGATATGCCTTAACAAAGTTGAAAAAGAAGCATCAAAATGATCAAATTAATCTCCAAAAAGTTAACTGCCTGTGTGAAAGAAACTCCACTCTCTTTAATGTAACACATAAAAATCACTGAACAATAAAATTCACCATGCTCAACATTCATCAAAATTTACCAGAAATGCAAAGAAGCATGCAAATGTGACCTAGACACAGGTGGAAAATCCATCCATAGAAACCAAGAAATCACAAAGATGATGGAAGTAAACAGACAAGGGTTTAAAAGCAGCTATTATGAATTTGTATAAAAATTTAGAATGGGAATGGAGATAGAGGCAAGAAAAGAGAGATTAGGTATTTTCTGTATAGATTTCACCCTTGGAATGAGTTCTGAGGTAAGTACAGAGAGAGGAGAGAGTGGTGGTAAATCCTTTCTCTCCCTCTTCTTCTGGGTTTACTCTCTGTGCAACACCTTTTCTCTTGAGACTGGTAGGCTTGCTGAGGTTTGCCACACCATGGCAACTGGAGAGCAGGAGAGCAGAGAATGCTGGAGGGTTGGTCTGGCCCAGCAGGTGCCTGGTGATAACCCTAGGACCTTTGTGGTCCACGAGGTGTATGAAAAAGCATTGAACATTTCTCTGTGTCCACAAGAAAGAAAGGGCCCAGAATATAAGTGAGAAAGAAAGAATAAGCAGACTTTCAGGAGGTTTCCTAGTCTGACAGCCAGAGTGAGAAAACACTTAAGGAAGATAGTTGGGGCAGGAATCTTTAAGATACTGTTGCCACATCTCAGTGAATTATCAACACAGTGGGGAGGCATGGTCTCTAAGGATACCAGCTTCCAAAAATGAGACCAGTTAAAACCCAAAGTGGACAGCCCTTCCACCTAGATGTTATAGTGGCATTACTGTACTTAGGTCTCCCAGCTCAACAAAGGGACTAAAGGAAAACAGTCTTAAATAGTACACTAGTCCTTCCTTATCTACAGTTTTGTTTTCTGCAGTTTTCAGTTATCTGTGGTCAACTGTGGTTGGGAAGCAGACAATCCTCCACCTGACATATTGTCAGAAAGTCAGCAGTAGCCTAATGATATGTCACAATGCCTATATCATTCACTCACTTAATATCATTATACAGGCATTTTATCCTCTCACATTATCTCAAGAAGAAGAAGGGTAAGTATGGTACAGTATTTTGAGAGACTACATTCATGTAACTTTTATTATAGTATAACTGTTCTATTTTATTCTTAGTTGTTGTTAATCTCTTGTGCCTAATTTATGTTAAACTTCAGTGTAGGTATGTATATATAGGAAAAATATAGTATATATAGAATTTGGTAGTATCTGCAGTTTCAGGCATTTACTGGGAGTCTTGGAATGTATCTCCCACAAATAGTAGGGACTACTTTACTGAGTTTTCAGTTTAATACATCTCAGTTTGTTTCTTGTTAAACAGGCTAAAAGAAAATAATATCATGTTCCTCAATTGCTTTTCTAAGCATACTGGATAATTTTAGAAATGTGCTCCTTTCTGTAGAGGAATAAACATGAACCCAGCCTACAAACCTATGAGAAGCTGATGTACTTTGTGTAGGTAAGCAATTTAAAAACCAATTGGTAGGTATGTTATTGAGAGGAAAGGTAAAAAAACAGAGTAGACAGCTAAAAACAGGCTTCTGTATCATTTTAGAGAAGATGTGATGATTAAGTACTTGCAGTCTTCATTTTGTCTTATCAGCAAATACACACCTGCAGTAAAAACTCCATTTACACTATCACTGTGATCTGAGAGAACTGAATCCTATGTCTACCTGGTTAAAGCTTTTCTTCCCTAAGCAGGATGACTTCAGGGGAATGCACATCTAGGCTGTGCTTTAATAGTTTCTTGCCAGTCACATAATGAAATTCACAGTGGATTGCAAGTTTATGTAGTCTCCCTGGATAAAATATAGCAGCTCTACTCATATTACTTCATAGTATAATTTCTCTGGGACGTAAGTTTCATTTCTTTTAAGATTTGATTTTAAAATGTTATCAGTTTTAAATCACTTGAACTTGGCTGGTTCTCGGTTCCTAAAATAATCTAGGGTTTTCCAACCTTAAATTTCTATAGCAGTTTGATATTTTGGGTTTCAAAACCATTTCTGTTTGAGAAAAAAGATATTTCTTTTTCAGAGAAAAATACGCCGATGTGTAATTTTATCATCAAATTGACCCATTAATTCATCCTTCTATGCCAATAGTTTGGGAAGATAGTTGAACTAACAACTAAAGTTTTCAGGAATTAGTAACCTAAAGAGAGTCTTACATTCTGCACAGGGCTTATTGATCTAGAAAGCTAATATAAATGTTTACTAGAACAACAAATCAAATTATTGCACCATGGGAAGTTTTATGTACATACTTATATAGATATTAGCACATACATATATGTATATGTAAGTATATACACATAAATAAATGTGTCATGGCTTCACTGGCATAAAATGTGGAAGTTAGAATAAAGGTGGAAGTTGTTACCATATTTTTCTAATGATACTTGATCAGCCTAAACTAGTAGATTCATATGTTCCTGAACATCATAACTGAAGCTGAATTAGATTACCAAAATAGGCCTTAGTGGTCATTTGTTGTCTTTTGGCTGCCTAGCATCGATTTTTCCTAATTTTGGTGACAGTACTCACCTTTCCCCACTTTCTGTTCTTGGGCTCTGGGTGTTTTATATTATTGAGTCAAGGAATAAGCATGTGACTCACTGTAGGCCAATTACCATGTTTCATTCCTCTAGTTAGTTTGATTGGTTTAGGAACAGATGGAGACTTGTTTTAGTATGCATCAAGGCTGGTGAAAGTCAAACCCAGGAACTCTGATTGAACAGTTGGAAGAACCTTGTATTTTTTACTTTATTATTTTTATTTAATTTAATAGTTTTTCTATTTTTTCTGGATTTCAACCTTAAACTGCTATCAGACATCTTGCCACCACATGGAGACTTTGAATAAAGTGTACATGGAAGACAGCAGAGCTGAGAGATAGAAAAATACTAAGTCCCAGTGATGTTCTTAGAGGTGCTGGATAAAGCTGGGTATGAAGATAGAGTTACCCCTGTAATTTTCAGAGACTGAACTCAATAAATTCCCTGTTTGCTTAGACAAGCTTGAGTTAGATTTTCTATTTCCTGCAGCAAAAGAGTACTATGTTGGATATTTTCTTTTGCTCTCCAGGTTTACTCTGTACTCTGTGTTATCTAGGGTATATCCCTATCTAGATGACATCAAAGAGTTCTTTTGTCCTCTGGCTTCTGATTGTGTTCAGGCAATGGAAATCTCCCTTGAGAGTGAAGACAGAGCATTTATTCCCTAAGGGTATCTGTAGTAAATCATAATAGGTTGGCTGGTCTCTCTTGCAAAGAAATAGATCCTGTCCAGTACACTTCTCTCTCCAGATTTGAATTGTCATTCTCTCCCTTCACACAATCAGATGTAGGAGAGTAATGTAAAGGAGTGCAGAGAGCATTAAGAGTCAGGAAAAAGAACTAATAAAACTTAGCTAAACCTTAACAGCAGACCATTCCGGAATAGTAAGAGATTCAATGTCTAAACTTAGAGAGAGATCAGATCAAAGGAAGAGAGAGCGAGAGGCCAGCCAAGGGCTATTTGAATCCTAGTTTACTAAATCCCCATGGTTTACAACCCTGATATCCACCCTGGCAGGGCCCTTGCTTATTTTTATACTGCTTCTCACTTTAGGTCCCTGTATCTTAAACCGGCTAATAGCCTTTGTTAGGGAAAGAGTGAGTGCTGTTCAGGTGCTAATGCTGAGACCGCAGTATCATTCACTCACACAGCAGGAAGAAACAAACATTCCATGATTGGAATGGTCAAAGGAAAGTGGGGAAATGTAGAATCTAAGCATTAGTAAGATTAGTAAATTAGCATAAGCATAGCCATCTTAGAAACCTAGAAACCATTTTCTGAGAGTGTGACTCAGAGGAAAGAAAAAAAACAAACAAACAAAAAAAAAAACAAACCCTGGGCCTGGGTAAGGCCTTGAAAAACAAGTTAATCATGAGCACCGGGTGGTGGGCAGCTGTGACCCTTGGTCAGCTAACCTTGGTCAGTAAATCTTACATACCAAGCTTATCGTGCAGAACCTCCCTAACCATTGAGGAGTAGTCTTACCCTGCCCTTGCTTAACCCCAGGATATATGTCTTGCAAGAATAATGTATAGTTATAGAAAATTGCTATGAGTTAAGTGCTTTGAAATTGCTATATAAACCCTTGGCTCTGAGTGCTCGGGGTCCTTGTTGAGACCCGCTGCATCGGGCTGACTTGGACCTCAGCTAGCTAGCTGAATAAAGACTTTGCTTGAATTTACATCTCTATGCCTGTGTAGTTTGTTCTCTGGGGAAGCCTCGGAAGCCTGGACCCTAACAGTAATACTTCCTAACAATTGCTTGCCCAGAGGTAAAGCATTATTCCTTACTGATTTCCTGTAATGCTTCCTTCACTTTTGTAATCTTAAATTTTCCTCAGTGGGTTTGAGTGAGCCATCTCTTGTGGTTAGAACCTGAGTGATACATAGTCCACTCATCTTCATCTTCAAAATAAATGGAAAATGCAGAAGTTTTAAAAGACATAATCACATTTACCATTTGAGTAATTTATCACTTCATAGTTAATACTCAATTGAATATCAGGAGAGCACTTCAAATTTTTTCAAATGCATGGAATTTTAAGAAGTCTTTTGTGAAGGGAATGAGGGCTTTTGGCATCTGTATGAGCTGGGACTTATTTTTAGATTTTGGATTCTTTTGCAGTCTGTCACTCTCAGAAACCACCTTTTAATGCAACCATAGTGGGATCCTTCTTCTTTGTTACTTGTAGTAGCTCTATGTAAGCACCACAATACTTTTGCAAATTTACACTTGGCCAGGTCTTAGAAAGAGGGCTACTTGAATTTCTGTGAGGAAATGAATGAAGAGATAATCTAAAAATGCATACCAAATTAAATGGTAGCAATCTATGTGTAAGTAAAATGTTTTATCTACACTCAGTGAATTTACATCCTGATTACTTGCTCAAAATCTTCTGATGTACTATCTACATAAAAAGGGTTTCCTAAGCAAATTAACAATATTAACAAAATTGTAGGTATATGTTGAGAACTACATAAAAGAACAAACTTTCCATGGGTCTTAATATATTTTCACAAGGACACAGCTATAAATATGCTAATTTCAAATTTATTCATTGAAGCAAATTCTGAAGAGCTCAACATCGTGTAATTAGTTGATATATTTTAAGTAAGTTTAACATGATTTATTGCTCAAACTTTTTACTTTATGGTTAGCTTTTTAATTTATCTGAATGATGAGCACTGATGAGTTTTTCTAGTGATATAATATTTTAAAAAATTAACTATACTGAACATATATAGTAGATTAATAGCAGGTAGATATTCAGTATTAGCCTGGGGATATGGAGTATATTCAGCAGTAAAGATGAAGCAAAATATTATTTATACTTTAAGTTGAAAACTCTTTACCAAACTAATCAAGATAATTTCCACTTTGGGTTTTCCTGGATTTTCACTTATAGCACAATTTTTACATCACAATAATAAGGATATAGATGCCATAGTTTTATGAATTGTAACATTTATTAATGGTGATAATGAAACACACTATTTAAAATTGTCCTGACCTAAGGAAAAAAAAGCCTATAGGTTTGCTATGTGTATCTTGTTATATGGGTAGTGTACTTCCTCTCAATCTCTTTCAACAGCAAAACAGTTTAAAAAATATGCTCCTCTCTTAGAAAAAACATAGGCAAAAATCTCTTGGACATAAACATGAGCAACTTCTTCATGAACGTATCTCCCCAACCAAGGGAAACAAAAGCAAAAATGAACAAGTGGGACTATATCAAGCTGAAAAGCTTCTGTACAGCAAAAGACACCATCAATAGAACAAAAATACATCCTACAGTATGGGAGAATATATTCATAAATGACATACGCAATAAAGGGTTGACATCCAAAATATATGAAGAGCTCATGCACCTCAACAAAGAAAAAGCAAATAATCCAATTAAAAAATGGGCAGAGGAGCTGAACAGACAGCTCTCCAAAGAAGAAATTCAGATGGCCAACAGGCACATGAAAAGATGTTCCACATCGCTAATCATCAGAGAAATGCAAATTAAAACCACAATGAGATATCACCTCTTACCAGTAAGGATGGCCACTGTCCAAAAGACAAACAACAACAAATGTTGGCAAGGATGTGGAGAAAGGGGAACCCTCCTACACTGCTGGTGGGAATGTAAATTAGTTCAATCATTGTGGAAAGCAGTATGGAGGTTCCTCAAAAAACTAAAAATAGAAACACCATTTGACCCAGGAAATCCACTCCTGGAATTTACCCTAAGAATGCAGGAGCCCAGTTTCAAAAAGACATATGCACCCCTATGTTTATTGCAGCACTATTTACAATAGTCAAGAAATGGAAGCAACCTAAGTGTCCATCAGTAGATGAATGGATAAAGAAGATGTGGTACATATACACAATGGAATATTATTCAGCCATAAGA